CTCCTTTAGGTTCTCCACCGATTGCAGGGCCACGTTCATGTCGAAGCTCAGCATGCGGCCGACGTCCACATGGAACACGTACAGCATCATGGAGCCTTTTTGATGACGCCGCTAGCTTCTCAACTTGGCTTCTGCTTTTTGGAGGGGATGATCCCACTCCCGCTCCCGCTTCCACTCCCACTTCCACTCCTCCTCTTCCCGCTCCTGTCGTCTCACTTATGGTTTGGCAGTGCTTTAGAAGAACTTAGTAGTGTTCCCTCATCTGTCCGTCTGCTTCTACTTGTGGTCTTTTTTAGGGTGCTGGCACTGGTAATCGATTGTGTGTTTGTATGATGAAGCTAAAAGATACAAGTAAAAGCAGAAACGTGTAACTAGTAATGATCATTTAGCTAAACGCTTAACATTCGTATAGATTTAAAATGAAATAAAAAAAATATGACTGCTTTAAGATTTAATTAAAACAAACATAAATTTTACTCCTTAAATAGTAAAAATACTACATTAACCAACGAAAACTCTTAACAAGGGAAGTGCCAAAGGCATCTATATTTCCAAAAAAGTCTCATATAAAACAATTAATTTTATCATTAGCAAAAAGTAAATTAAAAAAAATTAAACAAGTTTCTAAATTAACACGCTTGGTAAGTAGTTTGTAGTTTCGGGATAATTACAAATTCCAATATCCTTGCATGGATTTAAAAACAGGTCTCACATGGATCACTTTATCGAGTATTAAATACAGAATTGATCACATCTTTATGGAATTTCGGATTCAGAAGTTCCAAGTTCTTCGCTGTCGCCAAATAAAATGTCTGACTTTCATCAGAAATGGGAGTACTTGCATCAAAATGTTAGTTAATAGTTAAAGAAAATGTATTATTTTACACAATCAGGTAACTTATTAAAAATACTTAAGACGGATATGATAAAGCAACACCAAAAAGTTATTTGTACTCAATTAAGAGGAAAAAATATAAAGAATAAAGATTTTTTGTAATAATTGAATACAAATAAGGGAAACTAATTTATACAGTTTCATATCCAATTATCAAATTTTTTAATTTTTTTCCCAACTTCATCACGGGTGCTCCTTCACTCAAGCGCCTCTAGCAAACACCTCATTTAGCTTTACCTTTGCAATTACGTTAAGAATTAGCACTGCCGCTAATTATCTGTCAGCAGTGATTGAGTTTCTGATAGTTTCATGTTAATCTAATCCAACGCGTGCAACTCTTGAATCTACGCATGTTTCATAAAGATTAGAAATGACTAGCTTGGCTCTTTTTAGGTTGTTGGATTCTTAGTCGCACTCTCTTCACAACAAACAAACAGCTGTTAGACAACGCGACGCTCGTGGGAGACAAAAAGCGGTAGCCGTCGAGGCGGGGGGGTACGGGTTTAAATGTTAATGACTAACTGGGCCATTTCCGAGTCGCAATAAAAAATAGCGAAGCAAGCGAGCGGGTGAGCATATGCCCAGACGCTTATTCAATTTTATTTTTATAATTTTGTTTACAGTTTGCGCCTAGCAGGCGGCTTTCGGTTTTGGCGATAAGACGCACATTACAGGAAAAGCGGAAAAACGGAAAGAGAATGAGATCGCACTTAGCACACGCGCACTTTATTTAATACTATTTTGCAGGGCGCTGAACAACATCAACGTGGAACGTGTTATCAACGCACCTTGGTTTAAACAAGTCTAGACTAGGCGGGCGGATCGAAAACAAATGAGTGAAGCGAACGGCGGAGAAACGGAGAGATCCGTGAGCGGGCGAGAGAGCGCCGCACGTGTGCGCCGATCGTACCTGCTTAACGTGTGTGTGAGTGGGACGGAGCGAGGGAGGTAGGCGCAGCTCCTGCTGCGCATGTGTCCAATGCCAACTCCGACGTCGACTGCGACGTTCCCGCAGCAGTGTTGCCCGTGTTAAGCGGGAAACAAGCTAATTTTAGGTGGAAACCCAGCTCATAAAAGGTAGCAAAACTCTATTCCCGGAAAATTACAAATTTCTCAAAATTTAAAATTACTATAAATCATACATACATATGTACATATGTATGTATGTTCATATGAACTAAGTAAATAATTTCGATATCGGGAGATTCGATTTAGCTAAAAGCGACTTTTCGCTAGAAGGCGAACAGCCCACATCTCACACTTGCTTTACCTGACTGTGATCCTTTTTACCTACGCGAATTTCATAATTTTATTAAACGAAGTCTTGTAAATGTTCAAGGTAAAGGAATTTCTCAACATTTTCCATCGTTATTACATGTTATGGTATGTATGGTATGTACATGTATGTACATATGTATACAAATACATACAAAAGTATGAAGCTGTCGATATTACCAGGAACGATTAGCATAGAAGAAGCTGTAAAATAATTTGTCAGGTTCTCTTTAATAAACTGATGAAATAGGTCCCTGGAGGTGATAGACACAAAGCAATTACTGCTGCCCGCTTAATCATCAATGACATCCCAAAGTGCAATAAACGCGGGCCCATCAGTCACAGGCAAAATCACCTCAATGAGCAATCAAGCCCCATAACTGATATGAACTTATCAATAGTACGGCTTTGGATTACCAGAATGTGTGTAGAATACCTGTTTAATATGCGAGAACTCCGAACGGGAAACAGGGTAAATGAAAGGGTCTATGAATATTAGGAAAAAAGTTAAAGATCTTTATTTTAACGGTGACATCATGCCAGTTTCGACGACGAATTTATAAGGGACTGGGAGTAGAAAGAAAAGAAGAAACCCTGAACCAAAGCAAAAGTGAACTCCGCTCCTGCTTCCAAATGATTACAAAGTGTCAGAGTTTATCAGCTCCTTTTTCACGTTATGGGGACGGGGGGCATAACAAAAAATAAAAACAAACAACTTTCACATGCCAAGAAGAGACAAAGAGACGTAAAGGGAAATAACACAATGATATGAGACAGAGAGAAAAACTTATTACGATTGATAAAAGATGTCACCATAATTTTGGTTCAGCATTTTACATATTTTAAAATAAAATAAAAGACAAAAAGAAAACAAGAAAACGTGCGATCAGCTGATTTCTGTTGCAATATCGATACTCGATAATCAAAACTGAACTGCAACTCATTTTTCTCATTTCCCCTTTCACTACGGCTTCTATACTCTTTCTCGCTCTGTCTTTTTCCAATTCTGTCTGCATCTCACTCACTCACTCAGCTGTTGTTGAGTTGTTTTGGCCTCCACTTTTTTTTCATTTGCTTTCTTCTTTCGCACACTCTCTTGCAATTAACAAGAAAAAGCTCACAGATACAATGATGTTCTTGTAAAATATGTAAATTATGGCAATTAATTGCAATTTGGCTCAAACTGGTGCACACAACAACAACAATGCGCGAGGGTTGCTGACGTTCGAAAAAAGAAAATGGCAGCAGGTGTAGCTGCATTTGGTATAGCGTGCTGGTCAAAAGGGGGAGGCGGTTGGGAATTGGGTAAAATTTATGCAGTAAAAGGGCGTCATCACGGTGCACTGGTATGGTTGTGCATTAAACTATAACTAACGGTTAATTAAAACCATGCCCCACTCACATTCACACTCACCTTATAATCTTTAATCAATTTTCACAATGGTACGCCAGTGTGTGATGTGTAAGTGTTATTGTTGCCTGCGCGTCTGTGTGTTTTGGTTTTAATCAATTGTAAACGGGCACTAACACAAGCGTTGCAAATTATTTTACATCAGCTGTGGCTGTATTTGTGTGAGTTTGCTTGTGCTTGTGTTTTTATTTGTGAGCAACAGCAACAACAACGACAATTGCACAGACTCTTCCTCTTTATTTTTGCTCGCCTTCTGCTCCCTCTCTTTTAACGCCAGCAAGTCTGTGTGTGTTGTTTTATTTCCCTTATTGCCTTCCACGCTTTTCTTATTTATTTTGTGTGGCTCTGCTTCTGCTGCTGGTTCTTTTTCCGCCTGCTTATTACTTATTACTTTAAAAGCTATTTTCGTTGCGTATCAAATGTGCAAGTGTGTAAAAACCATTTACTCGCGCTTCCTTTAGTCTTAAATGTCCATCAATATTTTCCATTTAAATTCAGCCTGCTTGCCTTCGCTTCGTTTCTTTTTATATTTTCCGTGCTTTTTCGCTGCTTGCTTCCCTTCTTAGTCTATTTCTTTGTCTATCACAATTGCGTTGTTGTTGCTGCTGCTGTGGGTGTTGTTGTTGTTATTGTTGGGGCTGCTTGCTTATGCCTTCTGTTTTCTGCTGCTTGTTGTTGTTGGCAGTTTTTATTTTACGTCAGTTTTTCGCCATTTACACGTAGCGGGCACGGGCGCCGTTTGGGTGTTTGGATTCACACAATTTCACCCGCGCATATTGTAGCTCTTCTTAGATTTCTAATTAAATTAAATGGTATAAAAATGAAATAACGCACTTCGTTTTTGCCTTTGCTTTTGCCTCGCGATGTGAGAATGACAACAGATTTTCAAATCGATAACGATAACGGTGCTAGAGGCGATCCGTTACACGTTGGGCTACAAACTGTGACTTGTAAACATTTATTTAGGCTTAGTAAATATTTAGGGTATTCCAGCCTGACATCTAGTTCGCTAAAAGCTTAAAATAATTAAAAATAAAGAGAATCTAAAATGTCTTGCGATTGGGTTTTTATTTGGATAGTTCCTTATATAATACAGTCCTTCCGTCATATAGGGATGCATTATGCAATATCAAATAGTTAAATTACATTTTTTATAGATGTTTCGTGTTTAACAATTAAAAACAGCTTAAAAATCAAGAAAGTACATAATAAATAAGTTAATAAAAATAATTTGGAAACAATTGTTACATACACCTACCGATATATTTAGTCATTTCCAGAGGATATATTTAAAATAATTACCCAAAAAGTACAAGAAATCTGTTCAACTGTAGAAATTACCTAACTCTAAAATTTCTTTTGGTAGACGCTGGTGATAAAATATCCCAAATCACTTCACACAATATAGTCATTGGTCCATCTCTACTTGTAGTCCTATCGAAAGTCGCGCATCTTTAGCGAAAAGTGCAAAAATATTAATCCGAAGAAATTTTCTTTTTTATCATATAGCGCAGCACCCATTCACTAAAAGTCAAAGCATTTATTACACTTAAGTAGCTTAAGCAGATTTCAAAGGTTAAGGCGACCCACAAAACCCCCGCATACTCCGACAGACGCGAAATAAATTTCCCCTACCTCAGCAACACATACACAACACCAATCCAATGAAAGGGTCACGGGCGGTATTTCAGTTCTTTTTCATTTTTCTGGGCGTTCTTTGAGGGTTTTCCCCATAGTCGTAGCTTAAGTCTGTATATTTAAAAAAAAAAAAAACAATATTACTTTCTGTTTTTTGCCCTCCATTACATTGTTAAACCCGAACAAACAAACCAACCAAACCTTTTCCAAATGATCAACATCCAGACAATAGAAAATGTGTCAGATTGCACTCCACTTTACCTGCCGCACAGCTTGTACCTCAAGCCGGTGGCTAAAATGCAAATCTCCGTATCGCTACCGGCGATTAAGTCCGGCAAATCTGTGTCCAATCTGGAGATAATAGACAAGCTGGGCGTCGAGCTCAAACCGGATAAGTTTCTGCTTCTAAAGGTATGTTATACATTAATCTCTATCTTCTTTGTTTTATTTATTTAACACTGCATATTTTTAAGATATATTCTTTAAAACTATTGCTTCATTAATATATTCTACAATCAGGTTTCCAAGAGCACAGTTAACACAATACGCCTGGAAGCGGAACTGGATGATCGCAAACGCCTTCGATTGGCCATCCAACGCCTGGATGGCGTCTCTTTGCGCATCACCGGCTTCAGTGAATCCTTCCGGGTGCGTTGCACCGAATCGAAAGATGATTTTCCCACACGGCACGACTGGGACTCGTATTTTCGAGATGCCCGGAATATGGACGAAATGAAGGCAGGCGAACGTCCAGACACTATTCACCTAAGTCACCTGCCAATGCGATGGTTTTGTCCCCGGCACGCGGAGCACGAGGAGCAGGTCAAGCCAAGCGAGGGCATATTTAGGCGCATCTTTGAGAAGTTTGGCCGTGTCCGCGCCGTGGACATACCTATCTGTGATCCTTATCGGAAAAGCATGCAGTCGGCCATTAGTGGCATGCGAACTTTTAGTTTTGAGCAGGATGTTCTCTTCGAAGCGTAAGTTCTTTTCGAAACCTTATTTTTCATTTTTAAAACATACATGCATATATATGTACCCAGGGCTTCGTTTTGAATTTTTTTTTTTAATTTTTCTTGCAGATATGTCCAATTCGAAGAGTACTCCAGTTTCGTACGGGCTATGGACGAGTTCAGGGGCACAAAGCTTGTCCGCAAGTTCGTAGACAAAACCCAGGCCATCAACATTTGCGTAAACTTCGACAAGCAAAAGCATCTCAGTGACTCGCACGTTCAGCTACGGGAACGCATGCGAAAGAAGTGCATCGCAAAAGCTCAGGCCGAGGATGCGGAGCGGGAAAAGTTAAAGAAGCAGGAGGCCGAACAGTTGGAACGCGAAAGGTTTGACAATAGCATTGAGTACGGATGCGGAAACAGTAAACAAATCCGAAATATGGCAAAATATAATGGAATGTTGAACAGTTTTGCGCAACATTCAATCATAATTTGTCTTTAAAATTTATTAAGTACTTTCTATTGTATACTGTTTTCGGTGTCCTGACATTTTACATTTATATTTATTATATGCTTCCCATCTGGCGAGGCGAGTCTTTTAGCCAACAGTTCTCTGTATCTTCTAGACGAACAGTTAACAAATATTTATTATGCATAATAACAAATACAAAATCAAATGCAAAACAAAAAAAAACGCAACATTGCAACCAAAAATTACAGGCAAAAGCAAGAAGAATTGAAATTAGCAGAAGCGGCAAAACAACGAGAACGTGAGGAAAGGCGGAAAGAAAAGCATCTGAAAAAAATCCAAGAGCGCGGCCAGGTGGAGATCTCGCAAAAGATACGCGTCGAGGAACGCAAACTGATGATAGCCCAACGCAAGCTGGAAAGCATTCGCACCTTAGAGAAGCTATTCGAGCGGATACAGGTAAGGCGTTTTCCCGGTTCAATTATACATGCACGAAAAAGCTACCGAAAGTCATACGATTTGTTTGCACAATCGAGAGGACGCAAGTTTTGTCGTCTGCAAATGGATCTTTAAATAAATGTGCTTTACTCATGATGAACTCTTTTGGTATAGTAATAACTGCGAAACTAGATATTAAAAAAATTTTAAAATATGGCCAAATTCAGCATTGATGCCTTAACTTTCCAACAATGTTTGTTTTTATATACATACATATACATACGTACATATGTATATTTCTTTACATTTATTTTGAGGTTTCACAGCTGTAACTTATTGGAGACTTTCAAATACTATATATAATTTTTTTCTTTACAGCTAAAGCAAAAGGATAAAAGTCGTCGGGCGAAGCAAGATGAAGCCAAGGACATCCAACGTGGACGTCTGGTGGAAAAGTACAAGGCTGCCACAGAGAAACTAGTTTGTGATCAGCGCAAAATCGTTCAAGACATCAAGAGCAATACTCCTCTAATGGGTCTTCTGAAAAGCAAGTCTAAAAAAAGCTCCGCGCCTTTAGATGCAAGTAGTGATGAGGATTCAGTGGCGACGTCTAGCAAAAGACACAAAACTAGCAATGGCGTCGAAGGCACAAAACAGTCTGAGGACGCCAAAGCCAACACTTTAAATCCTCTCAAAGCAGTCGCCGCCATAGCGGCTGGCGCTGTACCTGGGGGACCAGGTGCATACAGTGCCGATGCAGCCAACGAGTGGATGCAGTCTCTTTCAATGTTCGGTTACGGGATGCCTGGTGTCTTTCCCGGAGCGCTGTACAGACCGCAGGCACCGTTCCCTGTCCCCAGCATCTACCGTGGATTCGCTCCACGCATCCGCGGTCGTGGAAGGGGTCGCGGCAGCGGAATTCGTGGCAGTCGCAAAAGATTTGATTCGTATTACAGTTACAACGATCGCTATACTGACGAAGAGGATAATGGTTATTACCACAGGTCATCACGTGGCAGGTACGATTTGCTTAGTTCATGGAAAATGCAAATTATTAATGTTTCCAACAAATTCTAGGAATCGCTCACGTTCCAACTCATCATACTCCAGAAGTCGAAGCCGCTCTCGGGGTCGCCGGTAAGTAATGCGGGCCTAGAGAATAGATTAGCGAGTGTTTTATATTTTAGTATTGTTTGTCGTTCAAGGCGTTCTCAATCGCGCAGTCGGAGTCGCAGCCGCTCTCACTATCGGAAATCGTCGTACTCATCACGGTCGAGGTAGGAAAATGAAGCCTGTACAATAAATATAAAATGCTTTAATACGAATACCCTTTCAGACGCAGCCACAGTCGATCTCATTCGCGTAGTCGCAGCAAGACACCGTCACAGACTAAAAACCGCAAGCTGGCCTCCACTCGCCGTTCACGCTCGATCAGTTACTCCCGATCGCGGTCTCGATCGCGTTCTCACTCCCGCAGGCGATCTAGTACTCGCCGCGAGCATCACAGCAGCCGCCATCGTAGTCGCAGTCGAAACCGCAATCGCAGTCGCAGTCGCACATTGCCGAATGATGTGAAACTCGAAGCGGATAAGCTAGTGGCTTCTGCGGAGAAAATACAGCGAACCATCGAACAGGCTACTAAGGACCGAATGCGCGAAGAGGAGCGCGAGATTAAGGAGAACTTCCGACGGCAGACGAGCAGGGATAGCCACAATAGTCACGGAAACCACATAAATGTGCAACTGCCACCAGTGGAGTCCAATGTCGAAGATCGACATGACAGCCGCCGCAACTCAACGACGGCCTAAAGAATAATGTATTCATAAAGTTAGTAAATAAGAGGAGTTTGATAAATAAATTGATCAACATTGTCCCCAAAAGTGTAGTGTGAATCTTCTCATAAAAGGTCTGTGAATGATACGTTAAAATACGTACGACCCTTGTTTAAAAACAAATCAAACATACAGTTTCTGTATATTTTTTTTTTTTTTCAATTTTTTCTTAAAAGAAACTATTTCTAAGGTAAAATTATACAATCATTATGTTTTACTATTTACGATCTTAGATTTTTTTTCTTTTAATATAAATCCATGTATGCATTTTGAAGCAAAAGAAATTGTGTCGGCGGGGACAAGAAGTGTTGGAAGATGGAATAGGAATCAGTAGCGTCTGTTGTTGTTACGGCCCCGATTCCTGCCTCCAATGCCTGCGCCTCCCCTCCCCCTCCTCCACCTCCGCCTCCTCCAGAAGCCGAATTATTATTGCCACGCCGGCGACGCTGGCCACCATTATTTCCACCTTTCTGGAAATCACGATCCCGGTCGTTAAAATTATCCGAGTTATTGTTGTTAAAACCGTTGGAGCCATTGCCATTATTTGACCAGGGCGCATTTGAAGCCCAGGGATTGGGTCTGCCACCCCCAGGTTGATCTCTTTCTCGGTCCCATGCCTCCGTCCTGTCGTGCTCTCGCTCGCGTTCCCTTTCTCGCTCCCGCTCCCTTTGGTCTAGTGGCGGCTGCTCATCTACAAACTCCGTGTTGGGGTGCTGAGCCTTCAGAGCGACCAGAGAGGGCAAGAAGGGTTTCTTGAGCAGCAGCATCTCCCGGACACTGACCAATTGAGCATTGTGCTGTCGTGGCTCAAAGCGTGATTTTTTGGCGGGCGGGGAAATACCGTCTCCACGGGCCTCCACCGTAGGGGAAACTGATCGGGAACGATCCGGCACTGGTACCACATCGTTCAGCTCCTCCAGTTTTCCGGCATCAATATACTTGTTCAGGAACTCTGCGCCCTGCCGTATAGCTGCCATTAGTCGAGAGTCTGGATGGACGCGAATGAAACGATTATACACTAAGACGCCTACTATTGTCTGGGGATCAATGCCATTCAGCATGCCACTGGCAACTATGCCGTCCATTGTGTTCTCGCTAATCTGCTGGTGGTTCAGACCACTCGTCGTGTCTTTCGCTTCCCGGGCGGCCAGCTCCTCGTGGATGCTAAGTACGCTGGGGTCATCCGCTCGCCGGGGACCCGCCCAGTTCACCTGGAAGTTACGTGGAATGGGCTTGCTGTACGGGACCTTTTTTTCTCGATCTCGATCATTCAAGGCTCGGCTTGGATCTAAATCCAGGCCGGGAATGAAGCCCTTGTCGGCAGTCAAACTTTCGGTGAACTCAACCCTGTCCTCGGGACCCATACCGGGGATAACAGCGTCATCTACAATAATATCGTTATTAATCAACTGCTGATTCACATAACTGCTGTAACCCACCGTATTCACACTCATCCAACGCAGCCAAACTGGCGGGCAAGGTGTTCAGATTGTATTTGTCTCTCATCAGATCTCCGGGTCGGTTTCTCGTCCAGAACTTGATAGTGTGATCGTTGGAGCCGGAGCACAGTATGTGACCCAACGGATGCCAGGCCAGAGTCCATACGATGCTGTCATGCGCAGTTTCCACGCAGCCAATTTCCTTATCCGTTCTAAGAAAGAAATATATGTTGAATAAAATTTCAATTCCAGGGAATATTACTAGACACAAAACCCACCCAACGTTCCAGAATAGAATAGAACCATCAGAGCCGCCGGAGCAAAAGAGACCCTCGTGTATGGGATGCCAGGACACTGAGCTTGCCTCCTTTTGTGGCCCCTAAACACCTGAACCTCCTCACGCAAATTTCGGATGTCGAAGAGCTTCAGTAAATGGTCCCTGGAGGCGGTGACCAACCAGTTGCCGTTGTCATTCCACTTCAGATCCATTACAGTAGACTTGTGGGCGTGCCTGAATTAAATAAACAAAAATCTTTTCTTTAACTCAATTTATAATCGCTGGACGGCGTCCAAATCAAAAACAAAAAAGGAGGCTAATATATACCCTTGCAGATAGATCTTCGATGACTAGAGACTAATACATTATAAATAATATATACTTATGTTAAGAAACAATGAAGTAATGCCTGCTTATATTTCTTTAACCTATACATTCATATAATATTTATACTTCCTATAACAGCTATATGATATGGTCGTCCGATTCGGCTCGTTCCGACATATATACGAGTGGAAGTATATAGAAGACTAACTGCAAAGTTTCGTTCAGATAGCTTCAAAATTGAGAGACTAGTTTGCATTAAAACAGACAAACGGACTTGGCTAGATCGACTCGGCTGTTGATGCAGATCAAGAATATATATCGTTTATATGATCGGAGATGACTCCTTTACTGCGTTGCAAACTTCTGACTGAAATTATAATATCCTGCAAGGGTATAACAAGTAAACATGATCACTCAAGTAAGTAGTATTTACACAAACACTGGTACAACTTATGTAAACCAGTTTATAAATAATCAGCAACATTTTGAACTTACAGTGTAGCCAAGGCAATACCGCTTTTGGGATCCCAGATCTTTATAGGCTGCTGGTTGTCCTTACTGCCGCTCACGATCATTCCCTTGTGCGGATGCCAGTGCACACACTTCACGTCTGCTCCGTGTCCTTTAATAAAAAGACAGTTAGTTATCCCAAGGGGCTCTATAGACAAAATCACTACCCGCCACTTACCCCGCAGGACTCGCTCCTCCTGGCAGCGCATAAAGTCCCAGATCCTTAGGGTTCCGTCGTCGCTGCCACTGACGAATTTGCTGTCCGTCGGACTGAAACTGCGTTTGGTTTTGGATTGCATTGGAGAATGTTTAGAAATACGTAACAAAACACGAGTTGCGACGGTGGATATGAAAATCGATGATTTTCAGCGATAAAAAGAAATAAAATAATGTTAATGTTGATAAAAATTACAGTTTGTAAACCCTTTTTTAATACAACTATACTTTAAAGATAAGTCGCGTTTGTAACATTTTATCGCAAACGAATATTACATTGACAAATTGTGTTTTGGAATTTTTGTGTGGGAATTTATTCATTTACTTTCTTGTTTCAAACCGATGGAACCTAGGAATAAAAGTAAGCCAGTAACAAATAAACTAAACCTTAACTACTCACTAAACGCCCTATAAAATGAATTTAAAGGACATTTTAAATAGTTGTAACAAGATGCTGATGGTCGCTGTTTCAGCATAAGCGCACAATTTTATTATTTGCAATTTTGAAGTTCATTCCCGGTGACTTGTGTATTTGTATGTCGATGGATATACTTTGAGATATTCTCGCCAGATGATTATGCCCATTATTCGCCAAGATTAAGCGCCTTGGGGCTTTTGAGAAAGAAAACACTCGAACCCCCGAATTTGAGAACCAACAAAGAATTTGCATTTTTATTATTATATTGCTGTTGATGTTTTTGGCGCCGCGGAAATAAAATGGTGCAAAAGGTTCTTTTTTAATCTTAGTCAGTTTCTTTTATTACAGTCTTTTGCATTTTTACTTAATTTCATTTTATTGCTATCACAGGGTTGAGTTCGAGGCTTACAACGATAGATATTTTGATGAAACTGTTCAAATCTATTAGCCAGGCGGTGGCTAGGAGGAAAAACTAAGCTCTGAGTTGGCATGTTGCTGAAAATGACGGCTTTATTGATATATATTTAAGTGCAACAGCCCTGGGAGGAAACCGGATGTACACTACGCTGATAGATAATGCAAAAAATAACACCCAGGCGACCCAAACAGCTACGGAAACTAGGAAACGAACGCGGCTCTGACTATCGCATATATCCCGACTTGTTTGGCCAGCTGCTACAAAATGGTAAATACAGGCGACAATTACAATTAAATAGCTATACCTTATTCCCCTAATCGCCTCCTTGTGCGCCTGGTACATCTTCACGTTGTTCATGTTTGACTGCCAGTACTTAACATAGCCGCCATGATCCCCGGTCACCATCCAGCTGTCGTTGTGTGACCACACCATCGTCCGCACCGAAATGTCGTGGGCCTACATTATATATATCGACAATATATGTTAGCATTGTTTGTATTTGATCTGTTATGGCCTTAACACCAACCTGCAGAATGGTTTCAAAATTGAAGGTCAGTCCGTTCCACAGCGTAAATTCGCCCGAGCTAGCCCCTGTAACCAAACGTCTGCCTTCCGGTGTCCAGGCCAGCGTAAAAATAGGGCAGCGCATCTTATTCGTGGCCGTTTTAACGAATCTGGTGGTCACAGCATTTGAGGGATTATCCAAGTAGCTGGACGGTGGCAGCATATGGGGCACGTAGATGCTGTCCGGTTGCAAAGCTAAGCGATCCCTATGATCACGTTGCCACAGTCGATTCTGCGAAGATTAATCATAGGAAAATAATATGTAACTTTTATTAAAATTAAAAAAATAACAACTTTCTAACGAGTAGTACTATTTTGTAGTCTAAAAATCGTTTGGCCTTAGAGCTTCATTTGTTTGAAATTTAATGGAACAGTCTAAATTTTTTGTTTTAGAAGGCTTAAATATATAAAGTCGGCGTAATTTGAGCGAATATTATTATTATTGACTGAACGTTCTACCTATTTAATCGCTGGTTGAGGTTCAAAAGTTTTTAAAGTTGATTCTTACATTTCAGAGCGTTGTAAATGAATGTTAGCACAAATTTAATACAAAAAAAAAATTTTTTAATATTCCATACTATGATAATCAAAACTACGTGTGAGGTCTATATAAGAAAGGGATTCATAGAGCATATTTACCTCCAGCGCCTTTATAATAGACGCATTGTAGTCTACAGTCTTTCGCATCACACTCTTCCGCAGCCGCTTGCCATCAAAGTCGTCTTGGGACATGCCGAACGGTCTCTGGAAGCCGCCCGGCATAAAAGGCTTAAACTGGTTGTACCCATGCTTGTTGGAGCCATGGTGCGGATGATAGTGCCTGTAGTGCTGGCCGCCCATTGATGGCGGCGGCAGCGATGTAAAGTTGGTAGCTAGCGCTGATGGCGCCGTCAGCAGCTGCGGCGGTGGCTGAGACACGTCCATGGCGACTGTTGGATGACTTCTCCTTCTCTTCCACCAAAGGGAACTGCTTTTGCAAGGCGTGCAAAATAAATTTTCTTCGCACGCACACAGACGCACCCACACGGCGGCAAGCGTGATGATCGAGTTAGTTGGCTTTCTTCTGCTCAATTATCCGCCGTACTTACTCGCTTTCCTAGAGCTCTCTCATTTGCCTTGGTTGTCTGTTGGAAATAGCCTACGTTTAACTCGCTAAAAACTATTTGTAACAAGACGCGCTGAAAAATTACTGCTTTTGTCGAACGCGAATTTGGAACAGTCACATCGAAACGCGTGCGTAGTGTGTCAATTTAAATACTTATGTTATCGCCGTGTCACTCTATATTAGAGCTGTAATAGCCCATTTACACCAGCGTATGTTACTTATCGAAGAAAACGCAAAAAAGAAAGAAAATGAACGTTTAGCAGTTATGCCTTTCTCTACATCATACTCTTTAAATTTTAGATCCCGCGAAAAAATCGTATCTATGAGATCACAAGAGAACATAAGTTCTTCTAGCTAATTTGGTAAAGCAAAAAACATATTTTGGGATTTTCAATCAATTATCAATTATAACGTTTTTTTTCCTACATCGCTTTGGTGAACCATGTTTATAAGTGGCTGCCTCGATTTTCGCTTATGGAAAGAAACATACATTTTTAAATTTTGAAAGTTTTTATTTTATTCTTCTCTTGATATCTTGTTGCTCGTCAGATTTTTATGAATGAATACCCCTAATGACAACAAGATGTGCACACTGAGCTTGAAACTTTGAGAGATACGATCGTCTTACATAATTCTAGGTCATGAATTTCGCCGGCAAAGTTGTTCTTATTACCGGGGCCAGCTCCGGGATCGGGGCTGCCACCGCCGTGAGGTTCGCCAAGCTAGGAGCCTGCTTGGCCCTAAATGGCCGCAATGTTGAAAACCTAAAGAAGGTGGCCGAGGAATGCGGCAAGGTGAGTGATTCGCTTCCAGCCTTGGTGGTGGGCGACATCGCCAATGAGGAGGACACAAAGAGAATTTGGATGGAGACCCTTGAAAAGTACGGCAAGCTAAACGTGCTGGTTAACAATGCTGGGATCATAGAGACGGGAACCATCGAAACGACCAGCCTGGAACAATATGACCGAGTGATGAACACTAATTTGAGGGCCATTTATCACCTAACCATGCTGGCCACCCCGGAGTTGATCAAGACTAAGGGCAACATCGTGAATGTTTCGAGCGTCAACGGGATCCGCTCCTTTCCCGGCGTCCTTGCATACAACATCTCAAAAATGGGCGTCGATCAGTTCACGCGTTGCGTGGCTCTGGAGCTAGCGGCCAAGGGAGTGCGCGTGAACTGCGTGAACCCCGGCGTAACGGTGACAAATCTCCATGCCCGCGGCGGCATGGATCCCGAGACGTACAAGAAGTTCTTGGAGCACTCAAAAACTACTCATGCCCTCGGTCGTCCTGGCGATGTCAATGAGGTAGCGGCCGCAATTACGTTTCTCGCCAGCGACGAGGCTAGCTTCAGCACAGGTGTCAGTCTCCCCGTCGACGGAGGTCGCCATGCAATGTGCCCGCGCTAATAATTCTGATTCCTATACGAATGAAGGACTCGTCTAACTTGGATTTTTCCATGTGTAAATGCATTTATTACAATGTTTTGTACTGTTTTTCTATTATTTCTCATTTGTTTAGATTGTGTAAATAAATTTATTTGATTGATTTGATTTATCGATTAAGGATTAAAAAACAGTGCGGAAAGTATTCAATATTTAATATCCGCGGTCCAACCTTGTTGAAATCAATGTTCTTACCCCAACCAGAGAGATCTAGTAATCTTTCACCGATCAGTTTATCCAGGTATTATTCTGGTTCCCCCAAAATTCCAACACTCTGTTCGATGGGCAGCAAGGCCAATGCGGGATTGGACTTCACCAGCAAGGTGGTCCTAATTACAGGTGCAGCCTCTGGCATTGGGGCCGCCACGGCTGAATTGTTCGCCAGTCTGGGCGCCCACTTGACCTTGGTGGATCGCGATGAGGAAAACCTCATGAGTGTAATGAAGAAGTGCTTGAGTTTGGGTAATAAGCCGTACGGCATATCCGGAGACCTCCTTAAGCCGCTCGAGATCGAGTGCATCGCGGACAAATCCAAGGAGCGAAATGGCGGTCAGTTGGATGTCCTGGTAAATGGAGCCGGCATAATGCCCACAGGAACCCTGCAAACCACCGAACTAGCCTGTTTTACACATGTACAAGATGCCAATGTGCGGTCCGTGTTTCTCTTGACCAAGTTATTGCTCCCCCAGCTGATCCAGTCTAGGGGTAGTATCGTAAACGTGTCCAGCGTCTGTGGACTGCGCGCTTTTCCTAATCTTGTAGCCTATAACATGTCTAAGGCGGCGGTGGATCAGTTCACTCGCTCCTTAGCCCTGGATCTGGGCCCACAGGGCGTCCGCGTAAATGCAGTTAATCCTGGTGTGATACGAACCAATCTACAAAGGGCTGGCGGAATGGATGAGGAGAGCTACGAGGAGTTTCTGGAGCACTCAAAGCAGACTCACGCCATGGGCCGGGTGGGAGATCCTGCCGAAGTGGCATCGGCAATCTGTTTCCTAGCTAGCCAATTGGCTAGCTTCGTGACAGGCGTCACCCTGCCCGTGGATGGTGGCAAGCAAATTATGTGTCCTCGCTAAATGCGTAGTATCCTCTTGTTCAGCCTCAAAATTTTTCTTACACGGTTCCTTGTACAAGTACATTCCTAAAGTTTCGCCTTCTAACAGCATCCGCTGTATAAGTTTTCAAAAAATAAAAATAAATTATAAGCAAGAACAAAACTAAAATCTACTTCGTTGCGGCTAATTAACAATATTACATTTTAAGGAATTAAATATAATATATAATATATCAATAAAAAAGTATACCTTAAGAAAAGCTTAAAGAGCATTGTTAAAGCAAAGTGCCGACCTAGAGGTCACGTCACGAAAATGTACATATAATTAAAGGTTGTTCCCAAAATAAATTTAAGAATATTTTAAATATTTTCTCAATACTTGTATATTCATATAAATTATATAATAATTCATAGCCACTCATAAGACACTCATCTGGGGCACATGATATGCCGACCTCCATCTACAGGCAGGCTGATCCCAGTGCTGAAGCTGGCCTCATCGCTGGCAAGGAATGCAATAGCGGCCGCCACTTCATTGACTTCTCCAGGTCGTCCAAGAGCATGCGTGACTTTTGCACGCTCCAAAAACGTGGCATAAGCCTCATCATTTAATCCACCGCGCCGTTGCAGTTCGGTGATGATCACGCCGGGATTCACGGAGTTCACGCGAACACCTTTGGGGGCCAGTTCCAGAGCCACACAACGAGTGAACTGATCTACGGCTGCCTTGGACACATTGTACGCTAGAACTCCAGGAAAAGATCGAATGCCATTGACACTAGAAACGTTCACAATGTTTCCCCTGGTCTTAATTAGCTCCGGAGTGACTAGAATGGTAAGCTGATAGAGCGCCCGGACATTGGTGTTCATCAACCTGTCGAACTGCTCGAGACTGGTATTCTCAATACTGCCCAGTTCCAGAATACCGGCATTGTTGACCAGTACATCGATGCGCCCGTGCTTGGCCAACGTCGCAGTTACTATACCCTGGACATCAGACTCGTTGTTCATGTCGGCTGCCACCTGCAGGGCAGGAGATCCTCCAGCTGCAACGATCTGCTCCGCAGTCGCATTAAGCTTGTCTACATTTCTGCCTACAATGGTAAGGTGACCACCCAGTTTGGCCAAGAGTACAGCGGTTCCGGCACCAATCCCAGAGCTGGCGCCCGTCACAATTATAACTTTATCCTTAAAACTGGGCATGATCTATTGTATATGTCTCAAATAGCTGGTGATAACTGCTGACATTGAGAGAAGTCAACAAGCTTTTGGGGATGCATGTCGATTATACGTTCTATCGATAAAGTGAAACTTTCAAAGCTATTTCTAACTGTTGTGAAATTCAATGTTGTCAATGTTGGAGCCGTGATATCAGTGTTAATTAAATTTAATATGTGTCAAAACCTTGACGTTAGATTTGATTATATTTTTCTTTTATGCTTCGTTTTGATTAGAGTTGCCATTTTAGCCGACAGATTTGTGTTTTTATTTTTGTTTCGTTTCTAAATTTTTTCCAAATTTTAAACATTTTGATTTTATTTTTTTGAAAATGTTTTGAAGTAGGATATTTAAAGTTACCTTTGATTCTATCTTAATGCAGGAAAAGAAAATTTAATTCTTTCAAATGTTTTCTTCAATATAAAATTATTTTGATTTTCTAATATTTGTAACTTCTAAGCTGTCGGGGATTCAGTGTGCATAATTTTAGGTGCTTATCGTTACTAAGTGGACGTAGAAAAACTTTTTGAATTTTTGGCATTCTTAAATATTTGCTAAAATATTCAACGCATTTGAAAATTGATCAGCTTTTCATGTGTTTCATTTAATATATTTACAGTTCTTAGAACTTATTATGGTTCACGATTTCGCTTTTGACTTAATTGCTGCCAGCACTTGTCCAAGACACCAAAGAACTTGTCGATCTCTTCTATAGTTGTTCCCATGGCTGCCGCTACGGTTAAATAGGAGACTTTAAGATCATTTCGATGTGAACCAAAACCTGAGAAATAGAAAGTTAGAAAGGATACAAAAAAATAAGGAATATAATGACCCTGAAACTCGTAACCATCGATGGTTTTGTTTTGGCCAGATGTTATCACTCTCGCTCCGGAAACCCCACGTGTTTGCAACATGGCTCCCAGTCTACTGATGTCGCTGTTCTGACCCGCTTTGTCGAGAGTGCTTAAGGTAATGGCCAAGGATATAGAGTTGTCTCTGCTATCAATCACAATTTCATTACGACTCTCAGCGAATTTTTGTAGTTTTTCTTTAAGGTAAATGAAGTTGTAGCTCCTTTGCTTAATGAGCGATTGAAAACCGCTGCTGCCAAGGGAAAGCAATGTCATGAAGACGTCGAGGGCCTGGGACCCACTTGCTCTGCCCGCATAAGTGCTGGCCACATTATGCAGCACATTCTCCTCAAAACTGGCTACAATAGCTCCTCCCACCGGCACCAGTAGATTCTTGTCGCTGCTCTGTACAAAGTAATCTATTCTTCCCACTCGATGGGATCTTTCCAACTGACGAGAGATGTCTGGTGCCTGCAGTCCGTAGGCATTGTTCACTAGATGTGGTATTTGCCATTGCTTGGATAGCTTGGCCACCTCAACAATATTGTCGCTATTACGGGGTGCAAAGCAACTGGTGGTGGTATACAGGCAAAGGATACTCTCAGATCCGAGCGCCTCGATCTTTTCCCGGAACGACTCGATGTCTGTGTGCAGAGATTCTCCTTGCACCACCTGGCAAGGAATAATCACTGGTTCTAGCCCTGCAGTCGTAATTGCTTTGAAGCAGGACTTTTGATCGATTCGTGACCATAAAACATACCTCGCCCTGGGCCGCTGCTTTCGAAGGCTCTGAAGACACAGGCTTAAGGTCATACCGGTGCAAATTGGAACCAGAAAACATCCGGCACAACTGGGCAGTTGTCCCACGGTCTTCATAAAGTCGAGGATCAACGCGTTTGTGAGGCGAGCGAGCAACGTCGAGCCTGCCGCCTTAGGCTGTGCCTCCAACAAATCCCCAGAGCGACCGATGCCGTGTCCAAAATTGTAGTGACGTCGGGCCACGAGTCCTATATAAGAATGTTTTGCGGGTTATTTATCTTGATGCTTATATTACCCTAATTATTATCATATTTATTTTAGATACCCACTGCAGGCTATCCGCGCCTCCCGTTCTCCAAGTCCAAGTTTGTGAGGAAAGTTGTTGCTGTCCAAAGACGCTAAATGATGCACCAGCTCCTCGATTTGTTCATCGGGCCAGCCGTTTAACGGTAGTTTCCTCTGAAATAAAATATTTTTTAGCGTTTTGCTCGGTTTTACTTTTCTTTTTTACCTTTTCCAATAGCTCCTTAAAGCTGCGCTGCTTGGCGCGTTGGGCTGACAAACCTAACTGTAAATAGTTGTCAGGCACCAGTTTTGCTGGTATATTTATGTCATCAAAATTCATATTCTTAAAATGTTATAGCCTAGTAAGGATAAGAGGTATTATTAAAATTATTATAGGTAAATCAGCTTCAACTCCCTCTTTTGATGGCGGGCTAGTGTGACCAGCTTTCCGGGTACTAATCATGGATCAGCTGTGTTTGTTTACAAATCATGCATGAAATGCAAAATATGCAATTATGCAAATATTTTATTTATGGATGGAAAATAATTTCGTCATTAATTGTATCATGTTTACGAATAGTCATTCTAAACTCTTTTTCCTTTTTTCGCCGTACCGAACTTTAGCGCGCGGTGGAAAACAATCGATAGTGACACGGCGATTATATCGATGCTATGCTCTAGTTTGGCCACACTAAAGTAAGACGGCTTGGACGCGGCCATTTAATTTTCATCTTGCATCTAAATAGATATTAGTTCTTAAATTGTTGTTATATTTGTAAAGAACATACGTAAAGTTTGATAAGTATATGGTTATACGATGTGAGTAGCAGATCAGTGTTTTCACTAAAAGCCGAGACTTGGTGAATCGGGAGCCAAAAAACGAATGAATAATCAAAGTCCTTAATTCATGCGCATTTGACTATTGTAGTTAGGCAATTGATGCGAGATACCACCAGCAGCATTTGACTACTACCGTTTTTTGATTGTAATATGTGACTTTTCAGGTCGAAGACTAAGTCCAGGAAAGATACCACGATAGAGGAGATGGAGGAACTCATGAGCCAGCCTGATGCGGATGAAGGGCAATTCGCGGCATACTTGCAGCGCAAGCTCGCGCAGAAACAGCGTCCAATGAACAACGACCTCCTCTTCGGCAACGTCTCATTCGACTTTGACTTTGATGTGAAGCTGACCAAGAAGCAAGAGCCAGCCGTCACAAGCGAGAACAATCCAAATGCTGTCGCCTCAGGAGAGACCAATGAACCGACTGCTCAACCCCCGGCCGTACAGAACAATAGACCGACACCTTTACCGGCTGCCACAAACTCTCCGAATTCGTCGCCTAATCGCATTCGCAGCAGAAATGTTCCTGGCTCCGACAAGCTTCGGCGCCGGGCTATTCGGCGGCTATCACAAAGCTGTGGACGCCAATTGATTAAGGAATTTGAGGAGATCAATGTAACTCGAAGCTCCTCCAGTCCTGGAACCTTTGTGAGTTTTTCCCAATTCACCCAGAAATACTGGTATTTAATAGTGCCTTTATTTTTTTCAGAAGCCCACAGTTAGTAGCACTCCGTGTGCAGGCCAACAATCGAAGGATATTCAGGAAAAAGAAATAGAGGAGAATCTTCAAATGAAGAAATCGCAAGAGCCAGAAGCGGAGAAGCCCGCAGAGAAGTCACTGGTCCAGATAGACCCAAAGAAGTGTCTCACAGCATTGGACTCTAGAACTGTTGACATGGCTGCCGAGGCGTCACTATTGTATCGGGAGCGGCTGAGTTCCTTTCAAAACAACATTTTGCAACTTGATTGTACCGGACAGGCGCCGTCATCAAATGGTGGGGGTTGTACATACACCATTGAAAAGGGTCCAGCTCCCGGGCAGTTGCTGCTCTCACCTTCCCGGCGCAGTTCAAGCTGCACAGCTGCTCAAAAGCGGTTGATGCCGGTCGTGAAGGTAAAACGGCACAGAGAAGAACTTCTGGTACCAGATACTCCACCCCGGACTCATACTAAGGAAGCCGTACCGGAGCAGGAATTTGTTGTGCCGGACACACAGTTCCAGGATCTGGGCGAGCTGGTACAGAATCTATCTCGAAATGCAAGTGGTCCAATAGTGGTGATAAACACTGCCAACTCGAAATCAGTTGTTGATTTGGCGCATGCACAGCCTGTTTCTATGGTAGCGTCTGCCCCACCGGCGTTAACTCCTCTTCATCGCGCATCGACTGAGGTACATTCTGCTTCGTTGCAGCCAGCTGCTGCAAGTTATAATTTTTCGCCTGCGGTAGTGTCTGCTTCCCCAGCTAAGCCTCAGGAATCTCCAAAATCAAGTCGTAAAAGCACGCTGGTCGTAAACAATTTAGACGCCATAATGACTGACGACGACAGCGATGAGCAGCCTAGCACTGTGGCCATGAATCTGGTTGCTCAGCGTGGAGATGACAGAAGACAGCAGCGATGCCTACGCAATCTTAACAACCGGCCACCTACACCGGATCCGGATAAGGAGAATTTCGTTCATCTGCTGAACCTCCATCAATCAATCAAGGCCAAGAAGTTAAAACAGAAGGCTAAGCCGGCGACGGTGCCCTTAAACAAGGCGCCTTGTGCCCCGATAAATGGCGAGCAGTTCGCCCAGGAGCTGGCCCGGATGAGCAACTACGAAATTTTAGATTTACGTAAGCGAAACTCACTAGGCAAGGCGAGTCTAATAAACGGTCACAAAAAGAGCAGTACTATGCAACAATTGGATCTGGAGCGAAGCATTCAACTTGAGCTAATACGGAGGAATTTGAAGATCAATGGAGATAGATTAACCAGTACCACCACCGCGGTTGACGAGTTGCCAGAGAGCACGGACATTTGCCCTCCACCTGGCACCAGCTCTGACAGATATAAAAATCAAAGTCCGGAAAAGGTGAGTTTGTCGGTTTATGATATCTTTTGCGACGCAGTTAATAAATGGATACTTAAGATCAATTTTAAGTTAGTTTGTAACTGCTGGCGATATTTGGCTAATTTTGCGATGGCGTTATGACTTCAAGAGCAGGTCAAGTAGTCGCAAGAAAGGGAACCCTAGCGTAATAAATACAGGGGGATTTTCAGAATATCAAATCGTATAATATATTTATTATTCATGGTTAATGTGTTTTTTTTTTTCTAAATAACTTCAGGTCGACAAATCAGAAGCCAATGCAGTGTTGCCGCAACCCCCTCAACTAAACTTTAAGAGCACAACAAAATACACAGAGCCATCACGTAGCTCCAGACGACAGCATTCCCAAATGGTGAGCCAACGCTTTGGGCTTAAGCATGGATTGTCCACGACAGTCTCGGTTGACTTTGAAGCATTTTTAATTTTGTTTAAGTACTTTTATAATATATATCTAAAACCTATACGTTTAATTTTACCTCTTTACAACTATATATAAAGTCCCAGGAATGGTCAGATGACTGCGGAGTGCTTCCTCCGTTGGTTCCGTGTAATTTTGATGACTCAAGAAAGCGGCTGCAGCGACCTAGGCGCTCCAAGCGTTGTTATTCTCGGGATCTAGTAAGAAATAATCGTTTATATTTCTTTAATTTTAAAAGCAGATTTAAAAGTAGTTTGATTTTAACATTAATTTTATTTAGTCCGACGAATCGTCAGATGAAAATGAAGCTCCGCCGGTGCCACGTAACTTCCAGGATTCAAGAAAGCAGACAAAGCACTCCTTGCCCACTAATCGACGAAGTCGACGTATGGTGAGTTTTAAAAGAGAAATGGGCTTGGCTTTAGTTCTGCCAAGAAAACTATTTTATTATTACCTTATTTGACAGTAGCCAATATCATTGATAATATTATAATTTTGTCTGTTTTTCAAGTCCGAAAAAACGAAAGATGACACTAGCTGCATTCCTCCGCCGGCACCCAGTGCCTTTAAGAACAGAAGATCTTCTCGATCCAGACTTCGGAGTTCTCAAGGATCGTCAGATGAAAATGAACAACCACCGGTGCCGTCTGATTTCCAGGATTCAAGGAAGCTGACAAAGCACTCTTTACCCTCCAATCGAATGGACCGTCAAATAGTGAGTTTTAAAAACGAAAGGAGCTTGGTTTTGATCTCTGCATATCTGGAAATTATTTTGTGATTCCCCCTTTTTATAGTATCCCATATTACCGTTAACATTATGATTTTGTCTGTTTTCATTTCAAGTCCGAAAAACCGGAAGATGACCCTAGCTTCATTCCTCCGCCTGCTCCCAATGCTTTCAAGGACAGAAGATCATCTCGGTCCAGACTCCAGAGGTCTCAAGAAGTAAGTTTGTTCTTATACCGTATTCTAATTTTTGCCATTGGGTCTCTATTTGGGTACAGACTTTGAATTATGAGTAGAGATTGTAAATATTTTAAAGATAATATTTAAAGGCAATTTAGTGAAACATTATAGATATTTGACTGAATATTATAGTGGTCCTATTATTTAACTATAATTAAATATAGTTATTTAAATATAGTTTAAGATAGGAATTTAAAAAGGCAAAAACATTGTTCAGGCTTAGGAGGAATACTAAATTATTAAATAAAAATTCAACATAAAAAAATAAAAAGTGTAACACATTTTGGTGATATTATTATTATTTTTGCCAATACGCATATAACTGAAGAAAAAATAGGTTTTTTTTTCGATTTATTATTGAAATTTTATTAAAATCAGAGCAATAAAATTTCTTTGGGAGCTATGTGTATACTTTTAATTTCCTTTACATTTATCCAAAAAGATAACTGAAGATATTGTTTTCTTTCATACGTTTTAAAATCACACAACATAAAATTTTTTTGTTGTTGAAATTTGTATAAAAAATAAATAAAAACTTGATATTCCTCGATATATACTATATCTATAACAAACATTCTTGAGATGTTACACATGAAATTAAGTTGATACAAAAAAAAAAGCAATACTAGTTTTGTTTTCGCGTGTCAAATTAAAAACATATAATTTATTATTTAATTTTCACAAAATGTAATTTTTTTTAGTTGATCTCTACTTTTATCTTACCTAGTTTGTTTTGTTTGTTTAATTAATACCTTAATATCTTGTCATTCCTCGTTGCAGTCAAAGGAACTAACCAACTATCTGATGATCTCAAAAACAATGGAGATGCGGCGTTCTTCGAAGCGTTCAACTAAGCGCAAACTCTACACAAAGGGAGACTCAAATGCTGAAGTTTCTGATTTTGAATCACCTAAAAAACAAAAAAGATATAGTCGCAGTTATATTCACAGCGAAGTACATAACGAAGGGGATAGCATTGCCATTGTTCCACCGCCGCCTAGCTCTCTTCGCTACTCCCAATCCCTACGTGATTTGAGGCAGATGAATGACATTGATTCGGAGAATGCACCGATCGATAACGAAATTTCCACCATTGAGATTGCTCCACCGCCGCCAGAGAGTTTTGGACTAATTCGGGTGAACGCTTCACTTAGAGAAGAGAGCAATGAGGATGAAATTTTTCCCCCTCAAACGGAGTCCGACGGCACTGTGGAACACGCTCTTCCACCCCCAACTGAATACAATGAACCTAAATTGGTTGAAAACGAAACAGTTCAAAGTCGTGCACCAGTCAACGGAAGTAGATTACCATCACCGAAAGGAATCATTGCTAATGCTTCTAAAACATCACAAGAACCTGGGCTTCAGTGTGTTTCTAGTTCCCAAGATAAGTCGATTTCCAGACTAGATATTGTGACTGATAATGAGCAACCAAGCACGAGTCTAGCGGCACACAAGGCGAGGGAACTTTGTGCTCAAAAAGATAAAGCCGACCCCCAAGTAGATGATGATACAATTTTCAAAAAACCTCAAAAGCCTGCACCACGTGTAAAATCGAGGGGTAAGACCAAGGAGCTTGACAAGTTGATGCATTCCGTAATCTATAGAAAGACGTCTCTGGATGATGGCTCAAGTAAGTGTTTTTATATAGTAAATTAAATTGTTTTTTTATAGTAATTAAAGTTTAGTGGGCAGAAGGCAGGAGGATGCATCAACCAGCCGTATTTTTAACAAAAATATCATTCGGAAAAAATGTATCTTAATATTTTTATCTTTGACACAGTTTCTTCTGAAGGCTTGCGGCGTTCCAAGCGTGGTCAAGTCCCAATCAAAAACACTTGGTGTCATACCCAGGACATAATGGATATGCCCTTCATGGGTGCCAAATCCCTAATTCAAAAGCCAAAGAACAAGTCTACTTCCACGCTCAAGTCGGTTGGAAAAAAGAAGTCAACTGCTGCAACAAAAAAAATAATCAATCCACTGTCGGACAGAGGTCCAGTATGCAGTAGCACTCCTCGAAATCCCGATGTAATAGTGGAGCCATTCCCAGACTCGGCTTTCCTTGGACAGCACTCTGCAATATCGTCGAGAGATCCCTCCTCCGAAACGGATACTCACTCTCATAACAAATTTGGGCCCGTCATATTAGAAGATCAGACAACTAGCAATAACGGAAACAATCGGTTTAGAAACTGGCTGCTGGGCGTCAGCAGCGTTCAACCTTCTGAAACGAATGACCAAGGCAAAGCAGCATGTAAGTTATACATTTTTATTCCGAGTTCAAATTTATTATAAGTGTTAACTGAGGAGAAATGTAAGCAGCAGAATGAGACATTTTCAACTTTATGTCCACACCTAAAATTCGATTACAAACGGATAACCATCTTGAAATGTTTTAAACAATAAACATAACCAACCCTTATGGCTTGTAGAACCGGAAGAGTACTTCTTTCCTTGTTCTATTTGATTTATTAATAAATGATAGCATAAATATATTCTGGTTGGATATTCCCCGTTGAATTTGTGATGTTTCGATCTATAAATTTAAAGTTGTACTTTTTTTGGTTGGTTACTATGATTTTTTTTGTATATTGAAATACTCTTCTGTTCGTTTTAATACTACGTCTTTATCTTTGTTTTTACAGCTCTTGTTGAAGACATGAGATTTACCGAATTGGATGGCATAGACTATGCTTTCTATGATACAAAGGAAACGGCTGCTTTGGGCTATATGCGTTTTAAGCCGCATCAGGTTCGAAATAAAAAGAAGGTCAAGGCATGTCCTCTGGTAAGACCTTAATCCCCGGGTTTTTGATTCTATTTAACATTGATTTAATTTACAGAAATTCGTTGTGCAGATTGGAGAGTTTGCCGTGCAGTACGGAGCCATTGACGGAGAGGAGGAGGAAAGCTGTATATTACGTGAAGGTGATATGATTGAGATCGATAAGGGTAGGCAATGACACAGTAATGTCTCCAACAATTAATAACAATATCATATTTTTAAAAAAATTTCAGGCAGTCGATATTCTATACAAAATATTTTGGACGCTATAGGAGTTCTTTTGGTCATACGCAGTTAGATTTGATTTTTATTAATATTGTAATAATATAATTAATTAATCTTAAATGTGTGATCTATGGCCGGGAGAGAAGAAAAATTGTATATATCGGAAATGTTATTTGGTTAAGAATGATAGAGGTAAGCACTGCCACGGTAATAGCGTCAAGAAACAATTAATATTAATTAATTTTTTATATATATGCATATATGTACATAGGTGTCCTCTTGGTGATACGTTATACGCCGAAAAATCTCTATTTCTTTTAATATTCTACTAAGTATCCTGAATATATATGTGTTCTTTTGGTCATACGCAGTTTTAATTTCTGTTAATATAAATGCCTAATAATATTTTTATGAGTTTGTTAGTATATAATATAAAATACACAAATATTACATTTTTATTGAATTTTCGATGGTGGCCGTCGAAAGAATAAAATATTTAAATATTTGACTCGATTACGAAAATGGTAATAATAAGGAAAAAGAAATATGATTAAACAATACCAACAAAATAAATAAAAAACAATAATATATACTTAAAATGTAATTTTGAAATATATGGTTTCACAGGAAATAAGAAAGCTAAAACTAGTATCTAGATAAACTAGTAACCGTCAGACAGAGCTGGCTAGATTGACTCGACTGTTGATGGTGATATTATGTGTATTTTATATTTCTGATTACATTTTCTTTCTAAGTGTATTTTTTTAACGGTGTTCGGTAATTTAAAAATACCAAAAATAGCGACCTTGCGAGAACTGTCACATGTCCGACAAGGAGGTATTAAAAAATCCCGCACATTTCTCGTTGTCTCGCGTTAGTACTTTTAGCTATGTCATTGGGCAACGCCGGGCGAATTGCTGCTTGTTGGTTCGTAATAAAAAACAGGAAAGCCAGCGCAGCTTATAAAACTAAATTGATTTACTTGCGCAGGGCTGTTTTGACTGTTGGTGGCGTCTACGCTTTTGTGCTGTCGAAACGATCCGTTGAGAGTCGGCGATACGAAAGCTTGAGAGTACGCGAACGCATGCGAAAGGCGAACCAAGGCGATTACGACTCTTCTAAAACGGACAGGCGGTTTGACTATTAGAAGAAGAAGCACATTGTCGGAGTTCCTCACGTAATATCCACAGAAGCATCCCCCAATAACACTATGGCATTGCCCCAGATCAGTAACGCCGACCAGGCCAAGCTCCAGATGATGCAGGAGATGGAGATCGAGATGATGTCCGATTTATATAACCGCATGACGAACGCTTGCCACAAGAAGTGTATACCGCCCCGCTACTTTGAAGCGGAGTTGGGTGAGTAAAGTACATACTATTTGCTTAATCTGCAGTGACCGAGTCAGTGTTTGATCTTCAGCATGACGTTCAATTTTTATTTGTTTACTGCTTAATTTGATAAATAATAAAACTATTGAATTATTATCATTAATTCCAGGCAAGGGCGAAATGGTCTGCATCGATCGATGCGTCGCCAAGTACCTGGACATTCACGAGAAGATCGGCAAAAAGCTCACGGCTATGTCCATGCAAGATGAGGAGCTAATGAAGAAGATGTCCAGTTAACCAGGCACCAAATAGTCACTTAGCCAACAGTGCATTTTCAAACGCTTCGATTGTTAGAGATACATGTACAAATCATCCAGTTGTAGAGAATAAACCACGGTCTTATGCGTGCTACATAACAATTGTTGACTTTGAACAATGGTTTAAAAGAATGTGGACGACCCAGATGCTGTCCTAGTTGCGGCTACTTTTTCGACGTGTACACGCAATATTTATGTTCCTTGTGTTATCTTATTTCCGATGTTCCTAAAGTATGTCATGAATGGAAAGCATAATTTCGCTACTAGGAAGTAATAATTTGTGTGTTTGTACAAAACAGCGATTAAGTTATTTCAAATAATTTTCTGATTTTAACTAATCAAATTAAATAAGGTGACACTTACTATACTTGTTCGTTTACGAATTCATCTAAATATTATGACAAATGTATGCACACGTTTTAACAGGAATAACAAAATACACAGTCCAATAACTACTAAAGAACCGGCCACTGTGTTCAATTGCAACAAACTTCAATCCTCCGAGCCGGGTTTTCCGAATCTACTACTTGGTTAGCTGTTCAATATAGAACGTCGCGGTGGATATGTAGCGAAAGAAATATCGTCCAGAGAAAAATACTTTGTTTTTTTTTAAGAAAGTTTGAAAGAAGCCGCGATCTTTATTCACCATCTGAGCGCTGAGTAATTTATCTATGCAAGCCCAAAGCCAATGCATTCGCATGTAACTTACATGTTGTAAGGGAGACATATTTAACGGTAAAAAGTAATGTTCATATATATATATATTAATAAAATGTACCTACTGGGACCTCTAAGGAAATAAGTTACTAAAAGGATATTCCATATGTGAGTGTCAAGTCTTCATTCCTATATAAATAAACCGAACCTGGCACTATCCTATAAACACCAAACCAATCAAAACTCCTACCGTCTTGTTTTGCGTTTAAGTTATGGTGTATGTTTTACCAAGCAATTGAAAATAATTAGTGAGGCAAGTCTGAGCAGCAACTTTAACCAAATCGTTGTTAAAAAAAAAAAAAAACTCATTGTCAGGGGTTTTGGCTCTTACCTCATTCACCAACTTGAAGTGTCTAATCTCAAATCTTAGTAAAAAACGAGACAAAATGGTAGCCTACCGTAAAACTTTAACCAGTAGACCGAATTAGCAACTAGATACATTATTTGCAATATACTTCTCTTATTGTTACGATTAGTCGTCACTAAATTCGACATCAGCCGTTTTCGAGTTGGTGTCATCTCACCTAGTTCAGAGCTGTCTTTATTTGGATCTATATAAACTGCAACTCTCAGGAAACCAAATCCGACACCCTCCAAGACGAAGTTTGTTTTTTAAACTAGATGTTGTTTTATTCTCTTTTAAAAAACTGCTGCTACGCATCTGAACGTATGTTGTAGTGTCCATCTTGTTTGTTGTCCTTAAACCTCGTAGCCGTAGGATTTGATGATCTTGTTGAAGGGCTCAGCGGCCTTGGCGATGTTCTCACGCGCCTTGACCGTCAGCTTCTTCAGCTCGCGGTTGTGCTTAAGGGTGACGCGCAGCTTGGCCTTGCGCTTGCGCTCCAAGCTCTTAATCACATCCTGGTAGTGCCATCCCACTTCGTGCGACAGGCGACCGACCTGGCAGTACTTGCGGTCGGAGCGCAGGGTCAGCACACGCATAGCGATGGGCACAACGACGCGACGGCGCTTGTCGTAGGGCGACGGGATGCCATCGAAGACACGCAGACGAGCGAGAGCAGCCTGGCCACGCTTGGTCTTGTGTGGGATCATGCCTGAAAAACAGAGGAAACAGCACGTAAGTAAAGAGACACAAGTTCTTATAAGTTTAAGGTGGTAGGGGAGCTTCAGTTGTGAGTTGGTTACACGGTTTCTCGTTCAAATAATGTAGGTAAGATTGTAATAATCATCACGATATATAGGGAAGGCTGGCAATATGCAAAATCCAGATGCTTACCTGTAAGAAAGAAAATCAGTAATTAATAGAGTTTCAATTTAGCAAATTACAAAAGGTAATCCTTTAAGAGCATCAGTATAGAGTTGGTTACACGGTTTACGTTCAAATAATGTAGGTAAGATAAGATAATCATCATTGTTGTTGTGGGTTTCACTCTTATAAATCTCTTAGATCTTGTAATTAAAACTACATACCTCGGACAGCCTTGTAGAAGATCCTAGATGGGGCACGGAAGTGGAAGGGACCACGGGCCGGGTTGACATTGCACCGCTTGCGCAAATAGGCCAGGAACTTGATCTTGTTCCTGTAGAAGTGTCCGGAGAGGTTCAGCTCCTCGCAGCGCACCACCGCGACCTTGCCACCCTGCAACAGGTACTTGGCCACAACAGAGGCCAGGCGACCCAGCAAATGGCCGCGACCATCAATAACAACGGTCTGGAAACGGAGGAAGAGTAAAAATCACAGTCAGTACAAAAAATAACAATCTCAGCGCCACTTGTGTGAGGTTATGTTTGGCGGCAAGCGCATAAACAAATGTGTAGAGCACTTTTTCTCACTAACACGTTGTTTCGTTGGAACAGTGCATACAGTTCTTCGGTTCTTCAATTTTCACCCACTCCATCTCTTCACAAATGCTACTTGCATTGTTGCCGTTTTTGGCACGTGTAAGTGGAACACCCATTAAACACTCCAAACATGGCTTTTCTTTGCTCTCTTCGCACATTTCGCGGCACGCACGGCTAGCGCATATCGTACCGCACACTATCCACACATTTTCCAGCATTTTGGGCCGCTGCTTTGCCATTTTACGGCACTTACCCTGTTCGTTAAACCAGTCATGTTTAAGAACCGCACGAAAAGAAGGCGGAAGTTGCGATGACAGCAGACAATTGACAGCGCAGGGTTGCTTTGAGCCGGAGCTAGTTCAGCACTGCGTACCTGTAGTTGCCAGACCGGTTGGAAAAGTTGGCAACACCAGCTCGTGAACGCTTTATAAAGCTTCTTAAATGTTTTTATCGCGTTTTTTTGCGTTCCCCATGGATTCGCACCCCAGACCAGGGCTTCTCATTACGAAAAATGAGTATAGGCGTAGGGAATGAAGGAAAGCCTTGCGGTCTGGCAACTTCAATTTAAAAGAATCTTTTACAAATATCGATAAGCGACGTCGATAATATATATCAAAATATCGATACGTTTGCATTTTTATGTGGTATGTGCTTGTGCGATAAAATATATATATTTAAGGGATTCACTGAGTACTGTATAAGAATTCTGTCCCAAAAATTACAACTCTAGCCCAAAAATATTTAAAAACATCGATAATGCTAAAGAATCTTTGTATTGAAAACAATATCCAAACACCGATAGTATCGATAGTGCTCCAATGTTTGCCAGTACTAAAGCAAAACTTATTATTTTTGTCTTCAAGTTCTCAATTGAAACACTCGGATGCTTCTTTGGCTTCGAACCACCGGAGGAAGCAAAAATCGGGAATACACCCTTTTAGGTTCTCGCATGTTCTGTTTATCAGCTTTTCAAATATTCTTTGATTTAGCTTCGGTTGGCAGCCTTCTTTCCAGTGCGGACTATCGACAACCTATCGTTATCTGTCACCTATAGCTTGGACTTCCACCGCTTTATGTCACTCTATATAACATCGATAGGATGTCTCTCCTATCGATTCGACGGACACAACAAAACATTATTATTTTTGCTTCAAGCTCCCGCTATTCACACAGTAAACAGTAAAGGTGAATCGAATGCGAATTAAACGAAACTTTTTTTCGGGAGAGTGCAATACGCGTGCTTCTGTTCACAAAAAAAGTGCTGAAAAGAGACTACAAAAGATCGTCGAAACAAGTTCTGAAAAGTGTCGGTACTCTCCCAATTGGTAAACAACAAAATTACCGCTGCACTGGAGTTCCTTTGCACGTGAAAAAAAGGCAAGTTCTTGCTGCGCACCGTTAAAATAATTTGTTTTATTCAAATGTTACATTAGTAACCCTGGAGTTCCTGCTATTGGGGCTGTTAGTTTTCCCCTTTCCTTTTTCGCTAATTTCGAAATTGGGTCAATGTGTGTGCGAGGCCTGTTTATGTGTGTTTGTGCATATAGTATATGTTTTCGGCTGCTGCTGCTGGCGAACCAGTTTGTTGACCTTGTTTTTCGGCTCTCCAAGTGCAAATGGGGCATGACTTTTTGACAATGTGTGGTGTGTACCGCTTTTCTTTTTAATGGGGATCAAACAAACGGGAGTTACAATTAGTGAACATGCAATACAACAACTTCCAGTGAGCATTCGTATTTATCACCACCTAGCAACACAATACTTTAACGCCCCCGCGAACACGCTCCTTCTTGGGGACGTTTCCGTTTTTTACAATAACAAAAAAAACAGAGGTTCGTTTGTCAAGTACGTGACTGTGCGGGTGTGTTTTGTGCCTGTGCCTCTTTATTATATTCAATAACTGTTATTTATTCCTCGGAGCGTCTCTTTGTAAACAATAAACAGCTGTTTTCTTGCATTAGAACATTTAGTGTTGAGAAACGACACGCCTCGGTACGAAGATCAAACGCACATTTTCGGTAAAATAATGTAAATTAAACTATTTTATAAGTTACATTTTGTTAATGAAATAGTTAATATCATGCATACATTGTGTCTTTAATTGATTAATTGATTAAAGAAACAAAAAGTGTTTAAATGTAGCAATAAAAGTTGATTGGATCATTTCCACGCCGAGTTTATTTGTATTTCATTACAAAAACTTTACAAACGAGATTGATTTAGACTAAACTACCGATTATTTGTGTAAAGTGATCTTTCAAAGATTCTCCTTAAAACTAAAAGTAAGTAAAATAGAAACTTTTAACTTCCTAAATGTGCATCACTGGTTTCCCCCTTGCAGATGCCCGACAACTTCTATGAGCTTTTAAATGTGAGTTCCACTGCCAGCTTTGAGGAGATCAAGTGCAGCTACAAACAATTGATTCTACAATGTCATCCCGACAAATTACAACAGCTCCATGACCCAAATCCGATATCGAGATCGGCGGCCCAAAACAGCAGTGACTTTAATGCGATAAACGCTGCGTGGAACACACTGAAAGATCCCGTCAAGCGTAAGCACTACGATGCCGAATTGCTGCAGTCAAAATTCCAGGCGCACAGCAATATATACGCCAGCATTGGGCTCTCCGAAATGCAGCGGATTCAAGTAGAAATCGATGAATATGACGATGATGATGATGATGATAATGATGATGATGATGCGGGGGCTCCTCCCTCGCAAGAACCACAGGCAGACAAAGGGCCGGTGGCGACAATGTGGAGCTACGCGTACGATTGCCGCTGCGGCGGTCAGTATCTGTTCGACGGTGGACCCGGAGACGATGAGTCATCATCCGAAGTGATTGTGGAGTGCAGCGAGTGCTCCTTAGTGATTATAGTAAAACTTCCCGCAAAGTAATATTTAAATAAAGAGAACGGGGCAATAACAATGGAAATGCTGCCCAGAACAATGCTTGTGATTTAAACAATTCGATTTAAATTAACTTGAACACTCCGTTTATTGGTTTCTTGAACCCCGGCTGCGTGTCGGACCCTCTTCTTATGCAAAGCATGTTGTCGTCATCGGCGTTGTTGTTGACGTCGCTGTCGTGCATTCAACGACATCCATCCAATCCATGGGAAATGCCCAGCCCCTTCTTTGTCGCTCGCTGTGCCCAAAAATGATGTAACCAGACGACGGTACATCATTTCGTTTCGGGCTCTCCACTACCCCCTTTCCCGACCGCTTGTGAATTCACTTTGCATACATTTCATTTCCGCTGTGCGAAAAGAAATATCAGCGGGCTTTAATGTCTTTTTGGCGCGTGTGAATTGTCGGAGATTTGCCAAATTACGAGCACTTTGGCTTTTTATTTACTTATTTGAGGGAGTTTTTGGGTCAAGTTTTGGGGAGACACAGACAGCTTTAATGGCTTTGCTAATCCGCGATTACGAGACAATATCCAATGGAGTTGCCTCACTTGGGACTTGGATAAAATATTATCATATTTTTTAAAAGTATAAGAGCCGAAGAAGTTAGTATGCTACTGAAATTTTAAATATGTGTGATGACAACATTTATTTAGATTATACATTTTCGAATTCTTAAATGGAAAAACTTTCAATAGAACATAGTTTTTGAAAAAAAGTTGAAAAGTATGTGGTTTATATTACGCATTAATAGTAATAAATTCAAAGAGTTATTTCTGCTCTCTAATTCCAAAACAGTTGAAAATTAAAGTAGATTTTTGTTGAGTGCGTTGTATGCCGTTAAGTTTTCACAAAAAAAGAGAAGTTTTTAAGCGGTTTAAATGGAATTATAATTACTCCGAGCTCTCGCCCATTTTTCGCTTTTTGTTATAATTCAATAACCCCGCCCGATCGACGACGATGATGTCAGCAGGCTGCAAAAGCCCAGATATGTAGCTGAAAATGTTTATAAATGACTTGGGGATGGGGGTGCGCAACCGAGGAAAATCGAGTACGCACTGCGAATCCATTTGTTTATGATTATTGCAAAGTAATTTGCAGTCGACACGACGAGAGCCTTGCTTGTGTGCTTTATTTTCTTGATTTGTTTTTATCAATCTCCCCCTGCAACATCTCTGACTCCGCCGGATAAGTACGTCACTCGATTGATAATTAACGGTTGTCTAGCTTTCGTTTTCTAAACATGCACATACTATAAATACATATGTGTAAGTGTATGTGTTTAAATGTTTTTTCTTTTGTCTGCTTGTCTGCGCATAAATGTTATTTACATAAACCGGCAGACAAGATAGATATACATAAACACTTGATTTCCAGCCCCAGTTTGAGTTAAATGAGAAAACAAAAGTCGGTGGAAAATATGCGTACCTTTCGAATGGTTACAGCTTACACATAAAAATGATTCCGAGCACTGAAAGAAATCAAAAGTGATGTTATAATACTAACATAAGGGACAAAACAAAATGCTTAAAAACATCCAAATGAAACATGCAATCATATTGATTATTTATTTTTTAAAATTAAAATATATTTTATTGTCCGAATCTCTTACAAATTTAATATGTAAAGCAAATCTTATTGGATTATACCCAAAGAGTATCGCAGTTTTCTTAGTGTACACACATTTCCCTGCTGGCCATCTCTCACTTTAATAACCTTTTGACACAGAAAATTGAAACGCTTTAGCGCATTTGCCGCTCGTCAGTCACTCATTCCATTCGTTCAGTTTCTCAGTTTGTCAATTACTCTTGGCGTGGCTTATATGCGTGTATGTAGTTGCTATTGTTGCTAAAGTTGCTGCTAGCATGACACGCGTCGCAGCGCGATTTTGAGATAAAAACGTTAACGTTAACGTTCGCTCTCAGAAAAGTGCAGATACTGCTGGCAACACAATAAGCCGGCTCGCACAGCTCCCGCTCAAGCAACGTCAACCGTCATCTCCATGTTCCAACCAGCCGGCCGAGCTCCTCATCCACATCTCTGCCCTGCCGCCCGGCACTTTCATTTTGTTTTCACTGGCGCATTAAAGACGCTTGAGCAGCTTTAATTGCCCAATGGCCAGGTCAGTCTCGGGCTCTGGCTCCGCACTTGTAGAAAGCTCAAGAAGTGTACGATTCTTCTTGTCCGACAGTGCCGGGAATGGAGCTGAACTTTTTGTATGGCCATGATAGTTGTCTTGATCTAATGAATATGATGACACTTTTTAAGGCGGCATAGGATAATTAACACGAAGTAACACGATTTTACCACATATTCTGTGTCACAACTGTTTGCATTATGGAATAATAATAATTAATTATTCATTGGCTTAATCGTTCGGATTAATAAATTAGTGAGTTTATCGCAGTGTGCATCCAACCAGTGACGAAGAGCACAGAGTTTACACAACCCTTCACTACCAAATGTCATCAAAAAGCCAAATTCATCAAAACAATTCTGTCAAAATCGACTCTCTTGCTCGCTTTATTTCTTAAAAAAAAAGATTTATGAATATCTGAAAAATGAGTACAAAATTCATCAATCAATAAATCAATGAAAATAAAATGGCAAGAAGGAGTTATGAGTAAATGCATATGGAAATAATAAATTTGTCACTGATGACAATTTAGTGTTACCTTCATCAGTGCGGAAAATCATCGATGATTCATCAACAACATCGCCTTGTGTGTTTCTGAATCGTTGACGAATTACTGATTAATGTAAAGCAACACTTACATAAATAAATGCAAAACTGAGATTTAGCTAATGATGTTCATAAGAATCTTTTTACCAAAAAAAAATTAAGCAAATAATAAATACTGCTTGTGATTTTTGAAAATGAGTAGATTGGAAAGAAATGGGTGACTGTTTTAAAATTGATCTTTAATCACGAGGCTAATATTTATTTGTTAATCTTAATCAGAAAATGTAAAATTACAAAACTAATTAAATTATTAAAATTTGTTTTTTCAACTTTTCTTTTTAAGTTGATTTCTTTTAGAGTTGCGGTTTAGTTACTCTTAAAGTCTGTGAACACAAAGGTTCCAGTTAGTAAGTGATTACTAATTAGTTTACTATTATTTTAGTATGAATTAAATCCAGGCATTTTGGTACAGTTGTTCTTATATCAATGAAATGAATTGGTTTGTGGTTCGCAGCTGAGCGATTTGGTATAAGCTTGCCTTTCTTTCCAGGGGAAGTTTATCCAGAACAAATGTTAAATACAAGATATTCCTCAGAACTAGTAGGAGCTGCGAACCACGAAGATCATGAGTGATAGCTTCACGAATGCGAATACTGGTTGGGCCGCTGTTGTTTCTTGTTTCTGGTGCTTTCGACAGTGTCGTTCGTGTCTTTCTCTCAATCTTAATTACACAAAAGTGCCAATTAATTGTTGATTTTTGTTGTTTTTTATTCTGACTCGGAACTTAGCGGCTTCCCAGGCAACACCTCGGGCCATATACGTATATTATTGTTCTGTTTCGTTGTTCTGTGGATGCTCTCGTCGCCCAAGGTGTCCGCATCTGTATCTTCATTTGTATCCGCATCTGTGAATCTGCGTGTGTGTAGCCAAGTGAAAAGCAAGGTATCAGCAAGTGGGGCAGCAACTAGAGCAGACAAACAGCATGCAGATATGCACACATACTACACGTACAAATATCTATGTAAATGTATATCCTCCCACACAAGTTGACCACTTTCAAGCCTCTTTGGATCTTTGAAGCTTGCTAACAGCTACGGGTGTGTTTGAACATAAATCTGTTTCAGCTATTATTCGGCTTTGACTTAATATCAATCATCAATATATTAACTAATCAAAGCTCAACTTTAGATCATTCCAGTTTGCCGAGGAGCGTAAATAACGCTGCAGAGAGTGTCGTCAACCTGACTAGGAGCAGCAGCAGCAGCCTCACAATTGATCGCCAGCATAGTCGCCACAACCAACAGACTGAAACGCCGTCCAGAAAGCAAACCGAGGGGAAGATGGCCAGCACCGGCGAGATCTGGCTGCAGTGGTTCTCGTGCTGCTTCCAGCAGCAGCGCTCCCCCTCACGCCGCCCACACCAACGCCTGCGCATCGACCGGTCCATGATCGGCAATCCCACGAACTTTGTCCACACGGGCCACATCGGTTCGGCGGATGTGGAGCTGTCGGCGAACCGTCTCAACGCGATCTCTGCATCGATGCAGAGCAAGGGCGGCTACGAGACGAGTTCAATACATGTGAGTTGACGGACTTTCCTTCCAGTCGATCTAACCCCAACTATAGGATAGAATCTTTACTTTGGCCTTGGCTCCGTTCCCTTGAAACAGGTTTTAAATAGATAGATTTCAGATATCGAGGTAGGGTTTAGGGTAAAAATATTGATGTTATTGATATTTGACGGAGGTTTTTCAAAATTTAGATTTAAAGACATAACGACCAGAAAATAATCGAAAACTATTATAACTTTTCCGTTGTTAAATATATTTTCATATACTCTGAGATATGACTGTACAAAATTTCAGAATTTCGTTTTTAATTTTATCCAAATCGGACGATTATGTATATATATGATATACATACATAACTGTCACAAGAATGGATAAATGTAAGAAACCGTATAACAGTAATTGTAAGATTTAAACTAATCCAATAGCAAACCTAAAGGATATACAAAGATCGGCTTGTGTAATGCCAGTTAGCTCTTTTCTTATTTTATACTAAAATTATGTACTTAAAAACAAAGAACGAAATGAAACCAACAATTATATAAAGATCATTAGAGAATTATTTGAATAATAAAAAAGAAAGCTTCTTTCGGATAGCCGAAGCTTGTATCAATTTATATTTCTTCATCATTTAAAATAATGAAGGCATACATTCAACTTATTTCCGATTTTGTTTTCAAATACAAAACCAAACTCTCAATTAAATTAGTTTGTGTTCTTTGGACACCGGATATAGTTCTTAGATAAAAACCATTTTATTCTAGTAATTTGCTGGGAGTTCCACAGGATCTTAAACTTATCCCATTTGAGATAAAAAAAATCGATTAAAAAACAAATAACTGGCGCTCAGTTTGTGGAATTGAAGCCACGCAAAAAGATTATTTGCGAGCATTTGTTGATAACTTTGCCGGTGTCATGTGAAAATATCTAGCCCTGAAAATAGACCATAAAAAATATATGAATTATATATGTTTTGTATATATTTTTTTTCTGATTCTGTTTATTTTATATCAATTCCAAGTGCTTTTACGAACATTTTAGAATAGTCTCTTTTTAGGATATTTTTCTCTTTGGTCCATTGGTGTGGCTGATAACGTCGTCCTCCTGTCTCGCCCGCTGATAGTATATACATATTAATATATTTAGTAGTTAATTGAAACAACGGAGCTGGCCAGCAGTGCAGTGCAGTGCTCGCCATGGTCTAGTACTTGGCTTAAACTGTTGACAAGTAAATCCCCGACATCAACTCATGTTTTCGTTGCCTTCTATTTACAGGCCTGCTGATGGAAACCACCGTCGGCCACCTCCCGATATGTGTACCCGCTATAAAGTGCATTTCGTGCAACATATTATTTTACAATGTGGGGAGAGGAGCAGCAGCAGCAAAACTTAAATACTTCGTACAATTCTTTGTTGTGGCGAGTTATCAGGCAAGGAGCGCGAGAGAGATACACGGACAAAATGAGATGTTTAAAGAAACACTTTTTATACCCGACAACGGCATTCATACCGACTTAAACTGCCAACTTCATTCTATAAGTGCTTTTTGCTGATTTTGGCTATTTTTGTGAGTATTAGGTAAATGAAAAATCGCAAGTGTGCCAAGCGACTAAAATAAACAAATAATAAAAAATGAGCCTGGACCTCGATAGGTGTATAAACAGAGTCAGTTGGAGCATTCGGTACAAGTTTTCGAATGTACTTAAAGGAGGAACCGAATCTTGAATAACATAACGTATAAACACCACGTACAATGTGTTTCTATGAAAACTGCCTTACAATTATCAGCACACCCAAAGCCAAGAACCACAGTCTGACCCATGATATTTGGCCAACAAGGTGCAACTAGCGAATCTTTTTTATACAAAAGCTGACTTAGCATTTACAAACGCACACACGCCGTTAACAACTATATTCGTAAACGGGAAAACTGCCGCACAATCATATATTTAACACACAAAGAAATTAAGTTTAAGCATATTTATGATATTCTTTCCAAGTTGAACACTTATACATGTTTGTGGACCCTATAGAAGGAGGATTAGGACTCTAATCAGACTGGAGTATTTCGTTTTAGGCAAGGCGGCAAGTACCTTTGTAGAATCCCACATCAAAACACTAATCTACACTTTATATATTTGTAAAATCAAATGCAGTTGTAGATAACAGAGGAAAGAGATTAATAAATATGCAATTTGGTTCTAAGCATATATGTATGTATGTAATGTAGACTAATTGTATAAACAAAATATTTAAGCAATAATTTATGGAAATATATATATACAAAAAAAAAAATCGAGTGTATCGCCTTTTGTTCATGGTTCAACGGCTCCCTTATGTTTTTTCTTTTTGAGCTAAGGATTTTCAGAGGTTAATACATATTGTGCTATTGAGGATTGCTCTATACAAGGTAGGCTATATTTATTCTTTAATCTTTATTATTATTGATTGTTTAAATAAATTAACATATTTTTGAACACTTTTTATCCTTAATAGAGTGATACCCTACAGCTGATTACTGCAACTTGAACAAAAATTATATTGTATTAACTTAAGATGTTTTGATTAACACAAAGACATCGTTTTCAAAGTCGAAGCGTTCGGAATAAAAGTAAAATGAACATTGAAAAGGCTAATTTTTGTAAACGTAAATTAAACTCAACAAAAAACAAGAATGTTTAAAAGTAAAGGAAAATGTTGACATTTTCTAAAAACATACTGTGAAACACCAAATGTGGCAACACAAATGTTAATGTTGTAGAAGTTTTATATAGACAGAAACATTATTGGCAATTATTATGCAAAACTTAAGATAATCATCGCACTGGTCTAATTATTCGTTTTTTTTTAGTTGCCACTAAGTTATATCCTTGTACCGGGTATAACGAGTATTTAGTTATTGTGGTGAAAATGTTTATTTTGTTTACCAATTATCCAAGTAGATATGTGTACCAATGGGCACAATTCTTTCAAGAATTTATATTAAGGCAAAAGAAATGAGTTAAAATCTTATAGAAACAGACCAAAATTTTTTAAAGTTAAATGCCAATTGAAAACAATGTAATAAAATGTATAAATTTATTTTTGACCATTTACAATATTAAGTGTCAGAAATTTGTTGAGATGAAGGTGCGATCGTCACTTGTCATACCTCGGTAAAAAGTGTTCTTTTTAGATTGAATTTACAAGAAATAGTGTTTTACCTACAAAAGATACAACTGAAAGTACACATTCTTCCATATCTAACTATTTATTGGCTGTCTTAAGAAACATAGAATATATTTATACAGTAAAAGAAATTAATCATCGTTGTCGCTACCAGATCCGCTGCCGGAGCCGCTGCCACTGCCACTACCGCTGCCCGACTTGCTGCTGCCCGCGCTCTTGCGGCTGCCTTCCTGGTCGCTGCCGACCGCACTGCTATCATCCTTGCCGCTTTTGTCGCTCTTGTCACTCTTGGCGCTGCCAGCATCCGATTCGCTGTCTGAATCGCGCAGCGCCTTGCTTGCCTTGGCCTTGTCCACCTTCTTATTGCGCCGCCCCTCGAAGTCGGAGCCCTCGTCTTCATCTGAGGAGTAGATGGTAGATGCTTTCACTTCCGCTTGATTGCCGCCGCCGGATGAGCCCTTCTTGTATCTGTTTTTAATGGCGCTCAAGCTAATGGCGTTCTCATCGTCGCTACCATCGTCGTGCTGATAGGATGAGTTGCCACCACCACCCAGGAGTGGCTCGCCAGCACCCGCCTTCTTCTTCTTGGGCTGAGCCTTGTGCTGGTTGCGCATAGCTTGTCGCAGCTTGGCCTCCTCCTCTTTAAGCTGAGTAGGTCTGTCCGTGGTGGGATCCTTGCCCACCTGAGTGAGGATCTTAATGCCACTGGTCTTGCTAGAGCGATCGGCCAGCGACATAGTCATCTTCTTGTGCGTAAAAGACTCCGTTGAATGGGGCCGGAAGGTAAGCTTGGTCCTGAACACCGACTGGCCCTGCAGACCAGTTCCTTGGCGGATAAACAGATGGTTGTGGTCGCCCAGCAGCGGCTGCCGATAGGCATCGAATATCTCGTTGCCCAGGTGAAGCGACATGCTGCCGTCCGACCATCGCACATATCTGGCGTTTGACTCGCGTACCATGTTGCCCTTGTTGTCCATGAACTCACGCCAACGGATGGTGTTGCTGACTTTGAGCTTGATGCGCTGCCGTCCCTCCTCATCCATCGTCTCCTCCTCATCGATCTCATCCTCGTATGTCTCCGGATCGAAGGGATGTGTGACTACAGACAAGAAGTTCGGCAGCTTGATAAAGTGTTGCTCTTTACCAAGGTCCGCCGAGATACGGGGAATCTCCACATCGATTCTTGTCTCTGGCAACGGTTCCGGCTCATCCTCTTTGGGGGGCGGCACCACCACCTGGGATTCGGCACGATCACGGGACCGCGAGCGGGAGCGAGACCGCGACCGGCTCATGGAACGGCTACGTGAGCGGGACCTGCTCCTGCTGCGACTCTTGGAACGTGCCGGGGATTTATCGGTGGCCGGGTCAACTGCCTCATCATCGTCACTGATGTCATCTGCGTCTCCAAATATATCAGCAGCCGCTGGAGCAACCTTTTTCCCCTAATGTATTGGAAATTATGCGTTTAGTTTCCTCGAGTTTTTAGAATAAAATCACAAAACGCAGATCATTTTAGCTCACCTTCTCTTGGTCGCTCTCGCTGTCCGAATCAATCAGGCGCGATTTCTTAATGGGCGACTGGTCCATGTCGCTATCGCTGCCGCTCTTGCGCTTCTCTTGATCCGAACCGCTTGTGCGACGCACCTTCTTTTTAGGAACGCCCATGTCGCTTCCAGAACCGGATCCACTGCGACTGCGACTTCGGTTGGGGGATGGCGTGCCCGTCTTGGAGCTATACCTAGAAGTACGACTGCCACTCCTGCTTCTGCTGCGACTCCTACTCTTGCTCTTGCTCTTACTTTTGCTCTTCGAGTGGGCACGTTCATCGTCGATCTGCAGGTTCGGCGAGTTCGAGCGAGACTCCTCATTACCGCTGCCCTTAGCGGTTCCACTACGTGAGCGGGATCGGGATCGAGATCTAGCGCTTCGAGCTAAACCAGATCGGCGACTTTGGGCAGATCCCGATCTCTGGCTATGGGGAGATCCTGACCGTCGACTTTGGGGGGATCCTGATCTGCGGCTCTGGGGGGATTCGCTCCGGCGACTTTGTGGCGATCCCGACTTGTGACTTTTTGGGGAAGCATCTGACCTTCGGCTTTGATGGGATCCCGATCTCTGACTATGAGCAGATCCAGACCTTTGACTATGTGGGGACCCTGATTTTTGGCTATGCACAGATGCCGATCGCCGGCTTTGCCGCGACCCCGAGCGGCGGCTTTGAGCGGATCCGGATCGGGCACTTCGCGGAGAACCAGAGCCAGACCGAGATCTTGAGGATCTCGAAGCAGAGCGGGACCGGTCACTGCCACTGCGGGGAGAACTGAAAACCGCGTTTCGCAGTGTTACAATATTTCCATATTGCTTAAGTGTCACAAACCTACCCGGGTGCACTGCCTCGCGGCGTGACGCTGCGGCTGCCACTGCGACTAGATCCTGAGGAACCTGAAAAGCCATTCTTTAAGCTGTTTGGGTTACAAAAATCACCAGCCACCTACCACTTTCATCGTCCGAGTTTTGGTCACCCATGATGCCGGAAAAAAGACTCAATAACTTGCAAATAAAAATACGAGACCGGGAATTAAAATCGAGTTTAGGAGGTCTTCGCACTAACAGACCAAGCGATTGGCAATTCCATTAGGGCGGCCTGCAACGATCAAGCACAACGATAGATGCCCGCAATCGATATAATGTAAACAACTACTTTATTCGAGAGAAACCCCGATCAACTCGTATCTAATGCAATACAAACGGGCGGAGAGTGTTAAAATTGATGAAATTGAGGACGCAACGGGCTAAACTCCGGCAAAAAAAATATGTTAAAAAAGTGGAAGACTATCGATAGTTGTGCAGCATCGATAACCGAATTTTACATCCCTAATGCCTGTGTGTTTGTATTCGTGACAGCCACAAAGTTTTTTTGCGGAACATTTTTGTGTACAATTTAAAGCCATTTCGGGCGCTATAATTTAGCCTATTTCCCCTCCATAGTGGATCTTAAAGTAGCGCCTACACCAAGCACGCGTGCATTTTAGTGCTGGTGACGTAAAAGACACATAAATCGGGCAGCGAATTTTGCCCAATTCGCTAGTTCGGGTGAAATTTCAATGAACTGAGAAAACAAAGACAGAGACACACACACGTAAACTCACACACAGGGTCACAGACACAGTGCTTGTGCAGCAGTGAAGAAAGAAGCAGAGACAACAGCGCAATAGCGAGCAATTATTTACTTACAAATAAAATACAAAAAGGAAACACTACCAAAAACAGTGCACCGTTCGAGACATTTGCAAAAGTGCGGCATTTACAACAAAGTGCAATCGAAGCGAAAGAGGAAGCTAAAAGGGACACAAAAAACTTTTCGCCTTCGCCAGGCATCAACATCCTTTGGTACTCTACTCCCTCTCTCGCGTTCGTTCTCTCTCTTTCTCTCTCTCTCACGGACCACGCTGCATACAGACGAGGCATATACACGTACACCCATACAGCGGGTATATATGCCATTTATTCAGGGACGACACGGCGCGGAAAAGTACTAACTAACCTCGCTCCCGCTCCGGCCTTCGTTCCCGCTCCGGCTTTGGCTCCTCCACCTTGTGCTCCATCCATCCATCCATCCTCCCTTCTTCCAGACAGTCAGTGAGTGATTGTGTGTGTGTGCGTGAGCAGGAGCTAACGCTAACCTTAGGCTGCCCCATTGGATTTAGCAGGCATCCTTTGCTAATCCCTAGACGCCACGGATACGGCGCCAGGACGACGACGACTACCGCGTCCACGTCCCGCCGGCCGCTTTGGAATGTTAAATGCGGTGAGAACGATCCGATCAGTGTATGTTGTTGTTGCTGGACAGAGTGGAAAGCGAGCGTTAACAGTGGAAGTGCAAGAAGCGGCAGTATCATCTAACGTTAATTTAGGTAAGTTGATTTCGTTCAAGGCTGTTGTTTATAGCATTGGTAAACCTATTGGCTTCCGAAAGTTTCGTCCAATCCGTGTGTTTGTTGTAAGCGCTTAGCCAGTGTTGCAAACCGACCGCCGGGTCAGCTGATAAAGTTACATGCGCAGGCCAGGTACAAGAGCAATAATAGGTGAAATATCAACATAAATTGTCCGCCCAAATTGCCAGACTCCAGGTAGTCAAAGCACATGGACGCATCGCAATCGCTTCGTTTCTCGAGAGATTGCCCCAGATGTACCTGTTCTCGCGTCAACGGCAGTGGAGGGGGCATTGATCCCACCCACACAGGCGAAGTAATGTCAGACTGCACATGTCCTGTGCGAGATACCATGGCATCTGCTTTAATTGATGTCACAGTATATATGTATAGTTCTTAAATTTAAAGGACATTATATACATATACTGAATGGATGCAAAAAGAATTATCCTCAAAAACTAAGTTTCAGTTTTATTCGTTTTTTCAATGTTTGCTTTTATCGCTAAATTTATTATTATAAATCAATTTTAGGAGTAATTACAGCGTTTATGTTTATTATAAGTATTATATTTAATTTTATTCGATAACAGCTTTAACTGTAGTTATAAACATTGAAAATAGTCTTATCTGTTGGTTTCTAATCGGTAATCTGAATGCATTTTTTTGTCTGTGAAAGCTCCCTTTGACACCTTTGATATACATATTTAAAGAAATTGTTTTTATTTGTTGTAAAATGAAAACGTTTGTGGGGAAAATGCCGTTTGGCCTGTTATTAGTTTTTTTCCATTATCAGAGCTCCATTTAAAATAGATTTGATTTATAGTACAATAAAAAGGGAAACGACAAGAGTTTAAGTTAACTTGCAACTTCTTTACTAAATCATAGATAAGTACAATATTTACTTGAAAATATCCTAACATGAAATATATCTTCGGTTTCCATTTACCAATATTTAGTGATCATACTTTTTGGCAGTTTGCTGCCACTGTCCGGCACCACTACCTGCATAACTGATCGTGAGACAAGTGCGGCGTGTCCTTTTCTTTCTCTCTTCTGCATCCTCCTGCCCAGCCATTCTGGTTTTTTCACCCACACCATTGCCATTGTCTTGCGTCTCCACCCCATACACAGCGGTCGCTGTGCATGTGTGTTGCCCACGCCAAGTAGGAACGGCAATAATTGCCGTAGCCTTTCTGCCTTTACTTCAGCTTCTCCTCCTACTCCTTGTTCTTTTTCTCTTCATCCTCCATCCGCTCTCCCTCTCCTCTGTGTGCCGGGCGAATTCGCCAATCGACAGCTGATGCGGCGGCCATTAAACAGCATCTGACAGTGCTGCAAAGCGAAGACAGTTTTTGTTTACTAGCTCTTTTGGAAACCCCTTTTTACATGACCAGCGACTTGCAAATTACGCAAAATATCTCGATTTTTGTTTTTATATATATACATACGTACAGACGTTGCCTTGCTAGGGCTCGGCTTTTCTGTTTGTTTATTTTCTTAACACGCATATGCTCGCATTTAGTGTGTGCTGGGCGACAATTATCTGCGGGGTGTCGGATTTCTTATCACTATGAGTATGAGCCCCCTTCACTTAGTCACATAGAAGCAATGCTCTTGTTAATGGGTAAAACACTAACTGCCTGCCCACCGCACTCTTTCGATTAAGACGCAAATGCCTATGAGTCAAGGATATTCCTGGTTCCAGAAACCTTGATTTGTTTTAGTTTCCCACGAGTTGTAAAATTATTATTAATTTTAACGAGTTATTTCATTTATAAATAGGTCCGGTAAAAGATTGATTCAGCCACATAAACAACGTATTTCATTTACAGATTATGGCGAATTTAAATTTCCAACAACCCCCGAGAAGTATAGCGAACGCGGCGTTAGCTGGACGGACAACTGGCGGATTCGGTGGTAGCTCCCTGGCTGGACATGTCACGCCCACGTCAGGCATGTTCCAAACCGGTAAGCTAAAGGGTTAACCATTGCGTGTGATAAAGCATCCCATTGACATACAACGCTTTGTGCAGACTTTGTCAACTCCTATCCAGGAGCGGCGAACTACGGACAGGCGCCACAGCAGCAGCAACAACAGCAACAGCAGCAGCCGCAACTGTCGCCGAACCGGAATGCGCAGCTTTCGGTCGGCGGACCCGCCATCTCCAGCGGCAACCGGAACGCCAACCTCTTCGGGCAGCGGCAGTTTGTGGAACGGCGTGCCATGCAGGGATTGGGCAGTGGACCCATGGTAAGCCCTCTGAATATATTGACACTTCAACGATCCTGGCTAATCGTATATAATTCCGCAGTCGAACATGGGGAACTTCATGCAGACGGGTCGCGGCGGCTACGGAACGGGCGGCGGCGGTGGCGGTCCTTTAAATAACTTTCACGTGTTCGGCGGTGGCGGTGGGGGCGATGCTTCCACGCCAGCTCTGCTGGATCCCACGGAGTTCCCATCGCTGACGAATGCGCGCGGCCAGAACGACCAGACACTGCCCCAATCAAATCCGCTTCAGCCGCCGGGCAGCAAACCCTATGGTAATTTCTTTACCTCTTGTGAGTTCAAATCAAAAATCCACTTCTTTTTATTTATTTCCGTTTACAACTACGATTATGTTTAAGCACTAATCCCTAAAATTTATTTAAAAACTAAAATGTGTTATAGTATTTTGTTACTAATTTTGGTTATGGTTTTGGGTAGATTAAAGTACAATACAAAACTACATTTAAATGGTTGATTTAGTCAACTGTAAATGCGTTCAAAGCTCAAAAATTAAAAAATGATCAAGTTTTGTATCGATTATATTTAAAGAAGTTTTTCTTTATATTCTCGAAAGTCTATACATATATTTTATACCTCACGATTTCCCATGTTTCCTTAGAAAACATATTTTTTACTTAATAGTTGGCAGAATAGAGATTTACTGGAAAGAGCGTTTTGCTTGTTAAAATATTTAAAAAAGTACAAATTCTGTGCAATTTCAAAATGAAAATTATTCTTTTTAATTGGAAATTTGTTTTAAAGTGTAGACAAAAAATACGATAACTTTGATCCTGATTGATTATTCGGCGTTCCAATATTTACCTCTAATTTTCTTTGTGCCTTCATCCTGAACAAAGAGTTGGCATGTGAATACAGTTTCTCCTTTGGCATTAAATTTCAAGAAATTCAAAAGTTTAAACATATGTGGATGCAATGAAAGTATAGCCCACTAACATTTAGACCCGTTTTATTTGCTGCAAAATTAAGAGTAAAATAATAAATAAATACATACGTATATAGTACATTTATGATTTGCAAATAAGTAGTTAAGTAGTAAGACGGGAGCTCTAATTAAACTAAGTATTTGCTCCTTCGAGTGCCCACTGGTATTGGATTAACAATTTTATATGCATTTCCTTAGTTTCAACGCGATCAATTCCTTCGCTTCACTCATTTTCCCCGGCGTTCTGCCTTTTTTCTACTATCTTTATTTCCAGTTGGCATGGTGAAGCAGCCGACGTCAGAGCAATCGGAGTTCACGATGTCAAATGAGGACTTCCCTGCGTTACCGGGCACCCAAAACTCGGACGGCACAACGAACGCGGTGGGGAGCGGCAGCGGCGGTGGAGCTGGCGGCTCTGTCGGTGCCACCACAGAGAATCACTTGGATGGCACGGAAAAGGCGATGAATTCGATTGTGGTCAGTGGATTGGCGAGCGGCGGTAGCAGCGGCACCAGTGTCGGCGTTGTAGGCGGCAATGGTCTCGGTGCCGTTGGCAGTGGCCTTGGAGGCGGCTTGGTCGTCGGTGGTAGCGCTGGAGGGAGCGGCGGTGGCACTGGAGGAGTTAGCGGTAGCGGCGGCAGTGCAGCCAGCGGTGTCGTCGGTGGATCGCATGTGAGCCTTGGCGGCAGCAGCAGTGGCGGTGGCGGCGGAGTCGGTAGCGTTAACAGTGTGCCCAACAGCAATGCCATGATGGGCGTGGGCGGCGGCCTGGGCAGTGGCAGCGCCGGTACCTCCGGCAGCGGCAGCGGGTCGGGCTGCGAGCATCTGAACGATAATTCCAGCAACGATAAACTTGTGAAGAGCGGCGTGCAAACTTCGCCAGATGGTGAGTAGTGTGCCGATAAGCTTCAGCAAACATCACTCTCGGGACTTCAATCGGTGTTTTTTTTAATATCCCTGGTTTGCCATATTTCCAGGAGTAATTAAAAGCTTTCGTTGTATATAAAGTAATATTTTTATGGTATCTTAACGTAATCGCATTGCTAAACAGTGGCTCTCAAAAAGCCAAATATTTAAAACTGCTAAAAAAACAATGTTTATACAAAGGACATATATTCTAGAACCATAACAGTGTAACCCTCTTATATCTAAAAAATATATCTTATATGCTTAAAAATGGTAATAAAAGTAAAACAAATCAAGTAGCTACATGGTCACTTCGTGCCCGCGGTCCACAGTAATAGCTCAGTGACATAAAATCCTCAAGCACATCGTAAAGCTGCATAGCATAGTAGGAAAAGCATGTCTAATCCAATACCGTTTTTAACATCCTAAGCACTCCAATAAATTAAATTTGATTTTTCGTAATTAAAGATATTCAACTTATTGTTTATGTGAAGACGATATGTGAAACGTTTTCTCGGGTTGCTGATTTGAGATCAGTGATTTAATGTACCAATTTATTTATTATTTACTATTTTCTGACTTGCCTTTTCGTACATTTTAGGGAAGGTCACAAACATACCAGCGACCATGGTGAACAACCAGTTCGGCATGGTGGGCCTGCTGACGTTCATTCGGGCTGCGGAAACGGATCCCAATCTGGTGACGCTGTCACTGGGCACGGATCTCACAGGCTTGGGCCTGAATCTGAACTCGCAAGAAAGCTTGCATACAACATTCGCTGGACCGTTCGTGGAACAGCCCTGCAGGTAGGAAAATTATTTCTTAACGGTTTACATACTCGACAAATAAAAAAGAAATTTGAAAGCCACTTGTCAAATTATATTACATGAAATTTTATTTATTTTTTATTAATTTTCTTATTAACGTTTTTCATTTTTTTTTTTGCAGAGCACAAGACGTTGAGTTCAACGTGCCACCCGAATATCTTATTAACTTTGCGATAAGAGACAAACTTACTGCGCCTGTACTGAAAAAGCTGCAAGAAGATCTGCTCTTTTTCCTTTTCTACACGAACATCGGCGATATCATGCAATTGATGGCAGCCGCTGAATTGTAAGTACATCTTTAACAGGATTCATCCGAATTCCAGAAAACAGACTAAACTCCCTAAATTGCAGGCATAGTCGCGAGTGGCGGTATCATGTGGAGGAGAAAATATGGATAACTCGAATTCCTGGCATTAATCAATATGAAAAAAATGGTACAAAAGAGCGCGGCACCTTCTACTACTTTGATGCGCAAAGTTGGAAACGTTTGTCCAAGGTTTTCCAAATAGATGCCGAGAAATTAGATAAATGTCCCAATATAAGTGCGTTTATGAATGGACAGTCTGTATAAAATGAATAAAAAATGAAAAAAATTGAAAAATAAACTTATCGTTTTATTCACTGTAGTATATAAAAATGACAAGAAGGAAAGCTGCGATAGTAAACTCTTGAAGTTTCGTAATTCGGCATACCGTCATTATGAAAAAGAAGAATTAAATAGAAAATTAACACTAAAATACCATACGTTTGGGTATATAAAAGTATGTTAAAAGTCCCAATCCAATGAGGAAATAATTATTTTTTACTTTTGTATGCCAGATTATTTATTTATTTATCATAAGAGAAACATGCAATTAATGTGTTCAAGGCCGATAAGATTTTTATGGAACTTAACTTTCTTCATTTAGGGCCGTCGAATATTGTTTTATCACCAAGTCTTCATCGATAATAGTAATAGTATTAGTTGCAATTGATTCTTAGGTTAAAAAATTTACAAATAAAAAAAAATTTAAAAATGATTGGATAGTATCATATGGCAAGGATTTTATGAAAGTTAAGAGAAAGTTGCAGCAGGACGATGACCCAAAACACGTCCCTCAAGGGTAAGGGATCGATCTGAGAGCAAAAGATGGAATTCCTTGGATAATCAAGTCCAATCAATTGACCTCAACCATCCCTGATGTGAACTCAAAGCAGTAGTAGGAAGTACTTTTAGTCAAATAAAAATCGACTATAGGATATTAGCAAAAAAACGTTGTATAAAAGTTCTGCCCAGGCCATTGCTAGATAAATATAGACTCAATTTAAATATAAATCTTTGTACACTTATTGTTTTGTCCAATCTAATTTTCCTTATTTAAGAAATTAATTTTTTAAATTTATATATATTTTTTTAAATTTATATTTTAAGTAACCTATAGTATATATATCTTAAAAAAAGAGATTCGTGCAGTTTATTGAAGAATACTAGTGATATTGAGTCTGAATTATCCGTTAAGGGATATAAATTAATTTGCACACTTCTGACCAAAACCAAAAACAAATACCTCAGAAGGGTATTAAAATGTACTAAATTATTTATATTTAACTGTTAAGACAATCCTATTCAAAAAAAATTTAAATATGTAAAGAATTGAGTTTGACATATTATGTACATTAACAGTGCGCGTAACAGCACCTTGATCTATGTTAGTGAAAACGCGTTAGGACATTTGTGACTACCAGAAAGAAGAAGCACTAAAAATCAGCGCCTGCGCCGGGAAGTAAATTTAAATTAATTTGACGCAAAACGGAACTTCCCGCGTCGCTTTTCGTAGCGCTATGAATACGCCCGGAATGAGTCTGTTCCAGGGCGCTGATACCCTCAATGTGAACTCCACGCTTGACCGCCAGGAGGAGGAAGAGGCGATACAGGATCAGAAGCGACGCGATGAGGAGGTGAGTGGAACACTGGTGTGCTGGTTTAATCAGTAGAATCGAGGCGAATAATGTCACTGTTACGTTCATTTTTACCTCAGCTGGGGCACCTGCTGGAGAACGCCTTCGACGACCTGGATGATGAGGAGAACACAATCGACTCGACGACGAATTCCCACTCAGAATTGGCGCCACCCCGTCAACCGCTGGCAGCTCTGAATAATTTTTCGCCACACTCACACACTCCTGTGCTCCAGGACAACCAGCAGCAACTCCAGCAGCAGCAGCATCATGCAAACGAGATGCACCGCATGAAGATGATGGTCGAATCCAAGAGCAAAGAATTGGAAAACGTCAATCAACTGGCCACTACTGCTCACAAGCAACTCGATGAGTTCCAGAAACGACTGACCATCATGAAGGCGGAACTGGACCGGGCGCTGCGTGAAAAGCAAAACACGCACGAGTTGCTCGTAGAGACCAAGGAGCGGTGTTCAAACCAGGAGAGTGGTCTAGAGAAGTTGCGCGCCGAGAAGAAACAACTCGAAGAGGACAACACGCGACTGGTGGGCCAGTTGGAGATCACGAGAACCATGTTATCGGATGTCCAGCGCAAATACGACATGGTGCAGCGGGACACACACAAGCGCGAGGAGCGCAACGCCGAGTTGCGGGTGCGGCAAATTGAGGATACGCACCGCGCTCAGTGCGAACTCCTGCAGCAACAGCTCAGTCAACTGGCCGATCAGCTCGATCGCAAGAAGATCGATTTGGAGCAGATGCACTCGCGCTATAATGCTCTGCAATCGGGCCATGAAACCATGTTGGCAGACAAGGCGTCCAAGATCAATGAACTGAGCCAGGCTCTAAATGAAGCCCAAATGCTGTGCAACCAAGCGACTAGCAGGGTCGATCTGGAGGCGGAGATCCAACGTCAGCAGCGGTGCATTATTGATCAGAAGGCTCGCATCGTGGAGCTTGAGAAAACGATTGCTGTACTCAACGAGCGCGTTAACGGAACTACAGCGGAGCTGGACCTAATGGACACTCTTCTGCAGCAGCATCACGCCGATGAGTCGCTAACGGGCGTGCTCAGTCAGGTGGGTGGGTCCCGGCTCATTGGTAGCACGCCTATGAACCCCGTGGATAAGGTAAACCATATCAAACAGGAGCTGTACCGGGCGCTAGGCAATCTCAAAAACAAGCGGGAGGAGGTGCGCCGGCTGGAGAAGCAGTTGGAGGAGCGCAACCAGGAGTTGCGCCTCCACCGCGACCAGGAAAATAAGTCACTAGTGCAACTTGCTAACTTGAAGGAGGAGAAAATGCGTCTGGATAATAAAGTGAAGGTCATGCAGCAGGAGCTTGAGGAGCAGCAGCACCGCTCGCAGCAGGACTCGAGTGTAAAAAGCCAGCTGGATGACCTGATAATGGAGAGGGATTCTCTTAAGAAGGAACGCGAGCAAGTTGATGAACAGCTCAAGATCATGGAGAAAGCTATGGATCAACTGAAGCAGAATTACGAGAACCTCCAGAAGAACAACGAAGAGCTAACGAAGGATAACATGCAGCTCAAAACACGAACCACCGTTGATGACGTGCGTCTGGAATTGGAACGACACAAAATCCTATTGAAGGATGCCCAGAGTGAGGTAGAGCGGCTCAAAAAACTGTATACCGACATTGTCACCGACAAGGAGTCACTGGATTATGAATTGAGAAAATTAAAGGAAGTTGACACTCTCAAGGAGCTCCAGGAGCATCGCCAACAACTTGCTACGACCCAACGCAACTTACAGTTGGCGGAGCTTAAGTCGCAGGAGCTGAGTAAGCTACTAGAAACCGCCAAACTTGACCATGAGCGAGATCTCCAGGCACTGCGCCAGAAAAACGAGCAGGACAAGCGCGAAGAGGCGGCCAACAAGGAAAAACCCGCCAACTGCAGCAAATGCCTAGAGAATCTGGCAGATATTACAAAGGTAACCGACGGGACTTAATTAATGTATAAAAAACATATTAAAAACATTTCGTTTATGTTTCTTTCTGACTTTCAGGCTGAAATCCGTATGTTGAAGCTCCAAAATGTTAACTCAATGCAGGCCAAGGAACTTAAGGAATTGGAGCAGGAGCTCGAACACGGCAAAGCACTTCAGCGCGAGATGCAGGCGAAAGTTGAACAGTCGAAAAAGCAGGAAGAACTTATTAATGACTTAAAAGAGAAAGTTCTGCAGTTTGAGGCTTATATCGCACAGCAGGAGGAGGATCAAAAGCAACAGCTGCAGCAGAGGACCAGCCCTAGTCCCAAGACGAATTCAAACTCGTCTCCAATTTCTGGCACTTCACCAGAGCTTACCCAGGAGAGAATAAAGCGCATCGAGCAGCGCGTGCGCGATGAGATGGCAAAACTGTTCGCTGCTGAGCTAAAAAAGTTCTCCAGCCGGCTGCAACACCTGGAGGAGCGAAATCAGTGTCTTCAACGGGAGTATCAAGCAGTGTGCACCGAGCTGCAGCAGCGGCAAACTGAGGTGGATCTACTGAAACAAACCATACTGGCCGAACGCGAGAAGATGCAAGAGATTCTAGTTGCTAAGGATGATAAGCAGAAATCAATTGTGCAAAACTGTAACCAGCAACTGGCGGCGAAAGATGAACGCATGGCGAAGTTAATTCGCCAACTGGAGGAAAATCATGCCAGTATCGAATCCGAACGGCAGTCCATGAAAACAGTCATGGGACAGTGGGAGAAGCAACGCATAAGCGTCGATGAGGTGGAGAAACAATGGCGGCAGCAGCTGGAATCGTTGCGCGCCAACCACGAGGAGGCGATGAAAGCCCTCCAGCAGCGCTACCAAAGTGCCAAGCGTACCGCTCACAATTACAAGCTCTATGCCGAAGACAAGGAAGCGCACATGAAGCGCGAGTACGAGCGCATAAAGCACGAGTATGATCTATCTCTGGCCAAGATCGAGGCGACCATGAACCAGCACTTGGAGCGCCAGAGCCGCGAGCGGCTACGCGAGAAAGAGAACGAGCAGCCAAGCAATAGCATCACCACCAATTCCAACAGAAAGTCAAATGGAAACCCTAACAGCAAAGGCAAAGACAAATGCAATGGAACAAATAAAAGCAATGGAAACACTAAGGTCATTTAGTATTATACATATGTCTCTCGTTTGCGGAATTATTTGTTAATTGTTTGTTTTTACATACATACATTCCTCACGATTTCATGATTTTCTGTATTTTTATCTACCATCTTAGTTTAACAAAAGTCCCATTAAAAAAATCTAACATATAAAAAAATCTCATTTTATGTTTATTACTAAAATGAATATACATAACTTAGTGGCTAATTTATTTAAAATTTTAATTAATCTAAAATCGTAGTTTCTTTATTTTAGACAAAAAATTGTTTATTTTAGGAAATTAGTTGTTTAAAAGGACTCGTAAATATAAAATGACCATTAAGGATTGTCTTAAAATGTTTTGCGACTTCCTCAGAGATGAGCATCAGATCAGCCAGAACAAAAATTTGTGTAGTTTCTTGTACTTCGCTGTATAATTAGGAGCGACAGTTTCTTTAAATAGAAAGATGAGGTATAAATAAATAAACTCGCTGGTATGATTTTTCCTCTGTTTGCGACTTTTAGTCCTGGCTTCGATTTTCGTTCTTATTTATTAAATATTCGTTTTTTTTTTTTTAATTTTTGCCTCAAGGTATTTATAACCACAATAAACTAATAAGACAATAGGAAGAGATATAAGCAAGTGTTGATAAAATTTAAATTTTTATACCCTTTCAGGGTTTTATAATTTTTTCCGAAGTTTGCAAAGTGTATATATTCTTGATCAGCATCAACAGTCGATTCGATATAGTCATGTCAATCGGTCTTCTATATCGTATAGCTGACATAGAACAATAAAAAATGATAACTTTTTAATTTGTTCACATATTTTTATAAAATTAGATATATGTCCGTTTTATATTATTCTAGAATTTCGGTTTTAGTTTTGTGAAAATCGGATGACTACACCTTACAGCTGCTATAGAAAGTATCGTTAAGTGTAAATGTAAAACTGTTAATGTAATAAGTATATGTTACTGAAATAATTAAATGAATTACTTCGTTGTTGAAATAGAAATAATTTTAATACACGTCCCCTATAGCTTCCCTTTTTTGTGCTCGTCCAGATAAGATGAGACAGTAAGGCTCTTTCACCTTCCTACAATTCAAAGAATCTGTTCTATTACCTTCTCTTCTCTGGACAGGAACTGTTGTCCTGCTCCCATATTGGGGATACTCATATGTGTACATCTGCACAAATGCTTGTATTCTGGTTTGTGCTGGCATCCTGTCTAAGCTGCTCAGCATTTCAAGTTGATTTAATTTCCATTTTCTTTGAATTACGCAAGTTCGGCTGGCCGTGATGTGGGTGTGTGTCATTGGAGACTTCAAAAGCGAAATGGCAACCAGGCATAGAAGAAAAATAAGCTACAACAAACAAGAACGCGACTAGGATGTTGTCAGGACCTCTCTCTGGCTCAGCACACCGCATGCAACTTTGCCAACATTTTGCACGTTTTCTTTGTGTGAAAATTTTTTCACAGCTTAAAAATAAACACACACACACAGCGGGAACACAAACATAAATCCTGAAAAGAGAAAATTAAATCAACAGAAGAAACTTTCCCGGCAGGTGGGCCTGCATCTCGCCTCGCGGCTCGGAAACAGCATTTAAAATTAACACAACACCATCTGACATTCATTACAAGAGTGTGTCAAGCCTTTGATCATCGCACGCGCCACTCCCGATGGCGAGTCCTGGACGGAAGTACACTCGGAATTACGAATATAAGTATTTCACTCTCTCCTCTGCAAACTTTTCGAGGAAATTAAATAAAGTGAATTCATTGTTGTTAGAGACTCATCTTTATCACAGATAGAAATGACTAGAAATCTTTAATTGCAAAAGGACTACCTGTTTCTCTCACAAGTCTATACGTTACGAATATTGAAATGGCAATGTTCTTAGTTCAGGCAGGAGCAGCCAGCAGCTGGAACCCTATTGCAGCTCATGCATGCCATTCAGCGGGTTACCTTTACCTGTGGTTCCTCTATTGAACTGCCCCGAGACTAGATGGGCGAAGGACATTCTAAAGGAGGACAGCTTTTGCCACCAGTTGCTCCTACTCCCATTCAATTTAAATTTGTTTGACGACATTCGGTGACAGGCGCCTGGTAGGCATGCCGACGGCGATACCACGCATTCCTTGCATACGATACATGTTTGCAGGTATGTATGTACGTATGAAAATTTACAAATATATATACAGCTATTGTCAGCTAATTAGAATGACAGATTTAGTGGGTTTATATTTGGTATAATATTTTTTAAAAAGCTTTATTCATAGGTAAATAATATTAATTAGTTAGTTAAAAAGACTTTGTTGTTTTTATATGCTAGTCATATGTTTAGTGAATTCATTTCCTATCCTATAAAGTATATATATGTAGTAATGTTAATGCCTTAAGTAATATCTTTTATTTTAAATTTACAAATTTGCAAATTATATGTCGAATATTTGTTTCTTGTATATTCATTTTAAAGAGTTATGATGATATATTTTTGTTCAGCATCACCAGCCGTGCCGATCTAGCCAATCTAGCCTCTAGTCTGCTGCTTGTCCAGCTTTCCGTTCCTCTGCCCTTCCTAACGCAAACTATAGTCTCTCAGTTCAAATCATTGAATTTGATCAAAATCTAATTGTTATATTATATGTATGAATGCTTTAAATATAACCTTTTATATATCTCTCTTCCATTTAGCCAAAATGGATCGATTCTCAAAGATCAAACTTTGGCATACTGAATTTGGCTTCCTTTCTTGATATTTTATGAAACATTTTGAGTGAAACAACTTTTTTAAAACCATTTTTTATTTTTTAACCAGTTTAGCGGTAAAACAACCTAAAGAAACGTTGAAAATGCAAGTAAAATTGTTAAAAATATTTTACATTATTTGTTCATTATGGTATTAATCGTCACATAGTATACGAAATGTGTGGCGTTGAAGATTGTATGTCACCACGTTAAACCACATCGTTTTGTTTGATTACTACATATGTAGTACTGTGTACCAAGTTAGTTGAATGACATGTCGTCCTAAACAGGTAAATGGAGCTTATTGGCATTTGAGCAATTGGAACACCGCACCCACTGATGATTGATGTGTCGATGTCGATGACGGTGGCACATGGCAAATATTCGACTTCAAAGGTTAGAATACGAACAAAAGAAAAATAATATTAATCATATTTCTAGACTTCAACACCTTTAAACCGTTTTACTTTCGTTAAAATCGCTGCTATATATGTAAAATATTATATACTGGACACCATAATATAGACACCAACGCTATTCACCTTGCTCCTGCTATGGTTTTTTGTGGCGTTGAAAGGAGATTTCTGTTATCAAGTATTCGCCAGGACAAACGGCAAAAGGTGCTCATGCATATTTAAAAGGTTCTGTGCGTGTGTTTTTTTCGGGGATGTTGTCAACAAATCCATTTTGGAGGTGGCTAAGAACTCGACTCGTTTTGGCCCACATGCATCTGCATTAGGGACAAGAGTCACAAAAGTTCTGTGTTTTTTTTTGTTCTCTTTTCCCGTTGGCAGCTGCCGAGAGACTCTCATGTGACTGCCAAATAAATAGACCCATGTCAAAATTTAATTTTGCTGTGGGTCAGCCGTGTACATAGACATCTGAATAAGGTATATGTATATATTTTCATTTATTTATTTCATTTAAATTCTGGCCTAGAAGAATCGGTTAAACATATTTATATTCTCCTTAAATTGCTATGCTCGACATTAATTATGGGTGGCAATGCGCATAAAAAGATTCTAATAATATCAACAATTCTTGAATACTTTGGAATGGGAAAATATTTAAGAGATGTAAAGATAATGGCTTTTGTTTGCAATGATTCCTATCTTATTAAGTTTCAATCTTAAAGTTTCTACCAAAATTGGTGGCTCCAACTGAGAATGAATCTTCAGAATCATTAAAAATCACTGAGAGATGTAATTTCTTGTGTCAGTTACACATGTATAATTAGTTGATTACTGATAATTAGATATGCAATTATCCTAATGGCATCTGTCGAAAGTGTGCTAATAGATTCAGCTGCATAATAATTTTATATTTTGGTTTAGCTTCAGCCACATTTGCCGAACCGTCTGCATAATCTGACTACGTGTGACATTTTCCATGCTCCATGCTCACACACAAAAGCTAATTAACAGCTGCAGTACACAGTACACATTGCATTTGCGGTTGATTAAAGCACTGTCCCCGGTATGTCCTCATGCGAATATCCTCGAACCTCCAACCCAGTGTTTCGGTCTGCCAGCTGCGGTTGCATCTCGGGCAGTGTGTGTAGACTGGGCGAAAATATCCGGCAACTTTTGAGAATGATATACCCGAAAAATACATCTCGTTTCTCTCGCAGGAGCTTGTTTGATAACTCATAAGTTCAGTGCATCAAATTAGTTTTACATTAGAAGAGCAGTGGGTCTTTGGTCAGGAGGTAATGTTGATTAGGAGGACATGGACCCAGGGAACTTCTTCGTCTGATTAGCGTCAGGCTCCTCGACGCGCCCAGTCCGCTTTATTTGTGGCTTTTTTGCTGCGGCATTCGTTTTAATTAATGCTGCTTTTTGCCCTTGATGTTGCTGCTGCCCGGCTCGGCGCCAGTAAATTATTTAAATTAGTTCTCGTTTTGCATTGAAAAGGGTTTGATTTCACTTTGGCTGACCCAAAGACGCTCCTCATTTGTGGTCAGCCTAGGGCAGTGACTGCGTATCCACTCTCCCAAATAAACAATCCCGCCCAAGGGGAGAATTTAAATGTATTCATGTGTGTTTGTGCCGTTGACATAATGACAATGTCAATTATTTTCAAGAGCTTAGAAAAGTGAAGGTCCTGGTGGGGCAATGTCATAATTGTATACAAGAGCTTAAACTAAATCAGCTCGTTAATGTGGGTCAGTTTAGTTAAACATCTTAGTCCTTTAAATGATGGTGTTGCAAACCTTCAAAATACCGCTTAACTCTAATTATTTTAGGATACAAATAAATGGTAGAACGCATTTAGGCAGATGAGCAACAAGCATCATCATCAATAAAAACAAGTACAATTTTATAATAAACATAGGGATTATCA